AAAAAAAAAAACTTTGTTTATTAACAGAATTAAAATTCCATATATGATTCCATTCTCGATATTTCCCACTGGAGTAGTACATATTATTGTTTTGCTGTAACTAAATCAAGTACTATAATTTCGAAACTACACAAATTCTTCCTATAATACGTTTATAAAATTTATTGTGTACAAACAGATTTCACAATATAATTCATATGTAAGTTTAATTTTGATTTCGTTTAATTTCAAAATGTTTGATTTGAAAAATAAATATAAATAATTAAATATATAATTAATTAATATTATCTTGTTATGATAATGCAGCTTTATAATTACAATAAGGTTTTATTAGATATATTAGATATACTGTCTGTAATAATAAATTAATTTAAAATTCTTTCAAGTCTTTTGCGATCAACAGTTCTGGAAATGCGACCTTTGTTGATTTTACTATAACATGACTTGTAATATTAAGGCACATCTATCCACATAAATCTAGTATATGTATTATTATTTGTTGTAATACATGTTAATAAAATATGCGGTTTATACAATAAATTTATTGAATTACAATTAATTTGAAAATAATTTAAAAATTACCTATAATATTACAAATATTTTAATAGATACTTCTTAGCTTTTAACCCGATGAAAGATTAAAATAGTAATAATTTGTTCTTAATTCAAGGTAGGTTAATTAAACTCAAGAATGTAAGAAAATTAAGGAAAAATTTTGTATACTAAAAAATTGCTAATATCACCATATAGAATGTTAAGTAAACAGTAGATGAGTAGTATTCTTTTTTTCTAGTGTGTATATAAGCGATGATACGCCTTTACGAAATAAGATGTAGTTTAACAAATTAAAACCTTTGTACAAATCGTACTATGCTTCATTACATACCACAGTAGCGATCAGTACAAAGATTCCATATTTGATAAAATTGTGTCATTTTCGGAACTTCATACTGTAATCCATTGTAAAATACATTCAAATAATTTATCTCTATTATTCTAATTTATAATATTTAAAATATATTATTAAGTAATATGAAGTGTATAATAAGTATTCATAGTAAAATATTATTTTGTAATAAACGTCATTTAATCGAAAAATATAAATATATATACTCTCATAAATTTATCACTTAAATATGTCACGAATGATAGATAAAAATATATCATTATAAAAGAACATTGAAATTCAGTTTTAAATATATTATTTTAAATATTTACATTATTTATAATATTATTATTATAATTAATACTGTGTTCAAGTCGTATTAATTTTAAACTTCGATATAATTAAGAATTAAAATAATTAATAAATAAAATTTAATTTAAATTATATTATATTACTTGCAAGATGTAAAAATATATTAAAATTTTGGATAGAAATCTATCAAATAATCCTTTAATGTGAAATGAGGTATAAAAATACTTATATATCAATGATTAAATTAATATATATATATATATATATTATATATATAAATATATATATATATATATATATATATATATATATATATATATATATACACATAAATATTTGTATATACTTACAAAAATACGTACCAAAGTAAGTTATCAAAATTTTAATTCTGCTGGTTGTCATCACATAAGTGTTAGAATTGAAACTGATAGTAAATGTTGTCGAAACGGCAGCTTTTATAATGCTTGAATCTCTGAAATTTCCTTGGAAAAGTAAAGTATATGTGTAAAGGTACTCTAGAAAAGTATTATTGATATCATTCTAAGAATAAACATTAGTCTGCATCACGCAAGCAAATTTTAATAATAGTATAACGGCAATATTTAAATTGAAAAATTTTAATTAAATTAATTTCAATGGTACAATAAAAAAACTGTGTAGATATAATATAATATTTTCAATGTTAATTAATATATTATGATACATTCCAATTAAATTATTAATTTCCGATTAAATTATTTTAGAAGTAATTTATAATAAAAGTATGTAAAAAATAGAATAATAATGAACTATCTAATATACTTTTGGTAATAATATATTTCATATTATAGTATGCATATTAAATATTATTATCTAATTTTTCTAAAAATATGATATCCAATTGAAATAGATAATTAAGTTCTCTAAATAATTATAGAATTTACTGTATACTATACTATATTAGACTATATAATTGGTAAAAATTCATTCAATTTGTAGTATAATATTTGGCATTCCAATAATTTCAAGAAAAATATCTAGATTGAAATTTAAATTCAATTAGATAAACAAGGGAATTATATTAAAAATTTCATTTGCATTATTTTAAAAACTATATTCTACTAAAACTTATATTATATACTATATGTCATGAAGTCCATTTTTCTACTTTTATAAATTCTGATATTGTTATTAATGAGAATTTCGTTGTATTAATTTTTCATTACGTTGTATTAAATTCAAAGTATAATTTAACTTTATGCAACAACTAGAGATTTATTAATAAATTTGCTTATGCTTATTTATCTTTTCTTTTTCTTTTATTTATATATAAATTTATAAAAATAGTATACCTTAAAGAAAGCTACCAAATTAAAAATCACATGATTAATATTAAATATATGGTTAAATTACATTATATTAAGTCAATTATATTAAATATTTCTTTATAATTGTCAAATTATATAAATTAATGTTCAATTACAATTAATTCTCTATTGATAAATTTGTTTTTATAAGGTCTTTATAATGCTATTACGTTGATCATTTCTTTCGATACCACCTGTAATCACTTAAGTAAATATTATGAATTTTCTTTTGTACAAACGTTACATTCAATAGTATTTTTCTGTTTTACTTAGGATTGTTTCCTCTTTTAACTTCTAATTACGAAGGTTTTCTTTAAAAAAAGTTTATAGATAGATATATTATTATCATGTTATTAATTATTATTAATTTAAATTAAAAAATAAATTTTAATTGTAATATCAGGTTTTTAGTCTTTAAATTTCGCAAATGTATTAATCTTAAAAATGTTTTTTTCTTTGCTGTTTCTATGCAAACATTGATATTACTAATAGTAACTAGCCTTATCCATATATAATATTTACATATTATAAAATACTTCCGTTCTAGTATGATTTTATTAATTTTGATTAATGATCCCAATTTAATAATCGATTATCAGTTCTGTTTGATTTATAATTTGAGTTATAATTTTTCGCTATTATAGTTTGCTTTCATAATAATATTTCTTTTCTAAATTGTTTATATTTGATCAGATACCATGTCTAATTTCTGAGATAAATAAATGATCGATTGATAATTTTAGATATTCAATACGTTCAAATTTTATTTGTTTTCGATATTACATCTATTAATAATTTAATAAGTATTAATTTACAGCATTAAGGAATGAGACTAATTTAAATTAATTGTATCGATTAAAATAATTCGAACAAAATAAGTTTATATTATGCATTTTTATTAAATTAACCTCTTTTTTCTTATTGTTTATTTAAAAATTTTATCAAACAACATAAAAACTCAAACATGAAACATTATAAATAATAATATCAAAAATTAATTTAATAAAATTATTAATTATAAATAAGTAATTATTATTTATAATTAATAGTAATTAATTATACTTAAGTAATTAATTATAAATAAGTAATTATTATTTATAATTAATAGTAATAAATAAATAATAAGTAATAACAAACAAATAAATAATAATTATAAAATTTATAACAATGTTATTATTATGATAATGATATATTTGATTCTTATATTTGATAATGATATAAGCTTTATTATGTTTCAAATCTAAATCTAAAAATATTTTTTAAAATATCCATAAATGTGTTCTAATTGTATTAGAACTTTGTGCTTAATAACTATGAATTTTATTTGGAGTTCTCTTTACAATTATTTAACTTATTTACAATTAATTATATAATTAGTCATATAAATGTAAAATTGTATAAAATATTTAAAATAATTTTGTAATATTATTGTAATCTATCTGTAGAATCATAAATTTATTTGACATTATAGCTATAAAAGGTTATTGTTACTGTAACCTTTAACCAAATGTTTTTTACATATCATTCAATTTCCATCAATATTCGGGCATCTTGAACATGGATTTCAAGAATATATGTTTTCTAATAATCATAAATATTTATTTAATTCTATTAATTATTAAAACTTTAATGTTAGCTTTATAATTGCCAAATTATTCAATATTCAGAATTTCTTATATATAATGATACAGTTGCATACTAAAATTATTTTTATTTATTTTTATTTATTTGTATAATTTAGGGAGCAATTACATTTTATAATTGTGGTTAGAATGATATATATATATATATATATATATATATATATATATATATAAATTTTCATTTAAATATAAAAATAGTAATATAATACTACAGTTTAAATATAAAATAAAATAATTTAGTAAATATTGAAATAAATATAAAGACAATAATCGAAATATATATTTAGTTTAAAATAGACTGTCAATATGAATACTCAGTATTCTTATTTACAAGCTGTATAGCTGAAAAATATCAATTTATATGTAATTTATCTAATATTTAATTAATTCGTGTTTAAAATCTTATTAAAAAATATATAAAAAGTTTAACGATATATTTATTTTTCAAATTCTTGTTGATAAATTAAGTTCTGGGGTATATATTCGATGTAAATCATAGAAAAATTATATTCAATTTATCAATTCATCAATGTTGCTAAACCTGTACAAATTTTATTTCGGTACTGGAAGTTAAATAGTATATGCATATAATTAATAACATATAAAATTTTAAAATACAATTTTGATTTTGTCTAATACATATGTCGCTAATTATGACAAAGAAATGATATTTTACATACTTTTTTTAAAACGATAACATAAATAATAAATTCTTATTTGAAGCATGTATAAAGACTTAAAGTAATAAACTATATTATAGCGCACTGATTAATTAAGATAAAGTAAAACGTCGATCAAATTAATCAAATTATCATTGCATTAACGTTGTGTACTTTTTGCAATTTGTTCTTTGAGTACTAGAATACTTTGTCGTTGCTCAGGTGGTAACATAGCTATTTGTTCATCAGACAGTTGTAACACTTGCATGATTAGAGCAGCCTAGAATAGAATTAGTGTAATATTAGAAAATATTTATTTGAGTGTAATTTATATGTATATTACATACAAACTGTCATTATAAAATATATTTTACAAAATTATTAAATTTCCTATTTACTTTGTAGTAACTAATTTTGTGTAATAATCGTATTATTTTATACGTTTTACAATTTCCAGATGATTATTATTTGACTATTAATAAAATATATATTACAGATAATTAAAGTTAGTTTTCCATACCTTCTCTTGATCAGTTGCCCCACTAGGAATATTTCCAGCTGGTGACATTCCAGCCATTAATCGTGCACTACTACTTGTTATTGAAGTTCCTGTAACTGTAGTTGTACCAATTGGGGGTGGTGGTACAGCTGGTGCGGTAGGTACTGTAAATAAGGGAATATTAAAAGAGTAGTGAATCAGTAATTAATATTTTATATAATCATATGTAGAATTCATTTACGACTATAAGATATAATTAAATTAGAAAAAAATTTAAATGGGTAACAATTTAATCAGTATTAAATATATTTTACAATGTATAATTTATAAAAATTAAATATTGATTTTATCAAATTGATTTTAAAAATGATAAAAGAAGTTTGATAATATGACCCATATATAATTATATTGTAAAATTACTCAATGTATAAGATGATTGAATATTTATATTTTAAGAATTTAATAAAATATTTTTCACGTCATGAGGTACACACCATTTGGTTTAGCAGCCATTCTAGGATCAACAGGCATTCTTGGATCACGTGGATCTCTTGGATCTCTTGAAAATCGATCAGCCCTTGGATCTCGCGCAAAACTGTAAAACAAAGTTATGTAATTAATTTCAATGACCATATTTTATAATGTATATTACATAATGCATATTTTAGACAAATAATTGCAACCTGTCAATTCCCTCCATGGGTAGAGCACTATGCATGAGAAAAATGTTAATATAAGGTTAGTTGATTATTGTGTTAGAAATAGAGTAAATCCAAATAAAGCTGATGTAATACACACGTTTCGCCTAAGTTGAAAGTTTGTGGAGCTCTTGGATCAGCTGGTGTAGGAAGAATTGCTGTAACTATCGGAGGAGGTGCTACAGTTGTTTGCGGCGGTGGACCTCTCAAATCCTGATCCATTCTTGCTATTCTGGGATCAATTTGCCTCTCTAAAGTCCTTAAATCTACATCTTGATCTAAAGAATGAGAATGCTTAAACTTATAAATATAAATTACAATAATACTAATGACAAGGAATATCGATACTTACTAGCAAAGATTGGAGCAGGTGGATTTACAGGTATGGGTGGAGGAGGCCGAGATGCAACCCAAGGTTCTTCGATACGAGGAGGAGGTGCTGTTATAACCGGTGGTTTTTCTGGAGGTACAAGTACACCCGGAATAGGATTAGCTTTATGTAACATATTAACGGCTGTATGTGGATCAACAATTCTCATTACAACTTGTGCCTGAAGTAATGCATATGCCAATTGAGGATTCTGTAAAAGCATTTGTCTTGCTTCGTTAGGATTATTCTGAACGCATAATTTCATTTGTTTCATGAGTTCAAACATTTGTTCAGGAGGTAGCGAAGCTACTGCTTTACTAATAGCTTCAGGCGCTTTGTCTGCTTGAACTGCTTCACCATATGGATTTTCCGTGTTTTGACCTTGTAAAAGACTTTGCATTTCCATACGACTTTTTTCTGTACAAGCATTATCAACACGTAATGTTCTGCCTCCAATTTCATAACCATTTAGGTTTCGCATAGCACTAAGTGCTGTTTCTTGATCTTTGTATTCGCAAAAACCATATCCTTTAGGTTTTCCAGTCTCTCGATCAAAAACTAACCTAGTATAAAATACACATAAACAACTATTTCGCCAATAACTACAAGTATAAAATCCTAATATTGCCAAAGGTAATTAATTAAATAACGACGAATATAAAGTAAAAAAAAAGTTTTTTTATTTCAGTATTGAAGTTATTTGAATAACACAATAAAATAAACAACTTAAACTTACTTAAATGACAATACTGGTCCAACCTCACTGAAAATATCTTTTAAATTTTCCTCGGTAGCTTCGTACGGGATATTCCCGACTAAAAAAAAAAAACGAATTCGAAAGTAATATCAGCAAATGGATTTAAATAGTATAAAATTATTTTACGTAATGTAATTAATTTCTCACCGAAGACACTTCGCATGGATTTATCCATGAGGGATTGGTCCGAAATAGTTGAATTAGTCATTTTTATTGTTTTCCGCCTTTGTTTTGTTTATTAGAAATTCTAAAATGAGTCGCACTTCACTTCGACTTTATTGCGTGAAACAAACCTCCGTATGATTGCACAATGTAATTAGCAATTATTAAAAAGGCCCACTGTTCCGCATGCAACCTGCATATGGTAACCGCTTACACTTATGACCAATTTCTACTAGTAAAGCGCCACTGCCTTTTACGGAAAGCCATGAAATTTTATTCAAATCAATCATCAGGTCAGGGTATCATTGAAAAAAAAGGGAACAAAAATAGTTTCAAGAGAAATTCAAGAAGAGTAAGAAAATTAAATTTTTATCATAACATCAAGTCATTATCAAATTGCAAGGGAAAAAAAGATATACAATGTATGTATTACTATTTATTTGTTACGTTGATTAATGATTCTCCTCTAATTATCTCTTCCTACTGATCAATCGAGAATAATGCATTTATAAAAAGTGTCAATATAATTCATATTTAAGCCCTCTATTTTTGGGGATGCAATCATTAAAAAAAATCATTTTAAAAAATCATGCAATTATGCGAAGTCCACGCTTCTCTTTTATCTATATGGATCTACATAGACGAATAGGAATATTTTTTATCCATTCTTTAATATTTTTAAAGTTCTATATTATTTACGAAGTATTTCCGATACCCATTTATTGTACATACTTAACTGTGAAATTATGTATCCTATAAATGGTCGATTACATATATAATATGTATTTTATTATTTTAAACAATGTTGAAAAATTTTAAAAAATCATGAATTATTAAAAGAATTTAAATATTTAATTAATTGTTTGTTATTCTCTTATATTGAAATGCTAGATGAAAGCTTATTATGCTCTAAATGTAAGTCGCGCAATCAATTTATTTTTTAAATTCAGAAAAGATGAAATATTTTAAAATGAACATAGACGTTGAAGAACATTTATTATTACATCAATATTTCATGAATATTCATGAATACAGTTAAATTTTATTTAAACATTAAAGTAAGCATATGCTATTTTAGACGAATTTACAATGTACTAATATCATCAACAAAACATTCGAATAAAATGCAACTGAATGATTAAGAAGACAAAATTATTTAAAATTCATTGATAATTAAATCGTAGCACATCAATTTCTAGCATTATATAACAATATAATTAATTCAACAGTAAAATATGAAGAACACATATTTTTATACAGAGATATTACAAAATTGAACTTTTTGTACGAAGCATTCATATCATTCAAATGGACCTCTATTTATAACATAAAATTAAATATTTAATTTTATTATCTGATTCATATAAACTATATTGAAATAATAATAATATTTTTATTATATATAGATAAAAAATTTATCAATATAGATTTAATTGCATTTCGATACATTTTGTTACTATTAATTCATTATTAATTTTGTAACAAAAACTTCCAATACAAAATTTTCAAATTGGATATTGCTATATAATAAGTAATTATATCTTAACAAAAAAATGAAAATCTTTACTCGTAATCCAAATAATCTTTTTTTATTCCCTTTCATAGTATAAAAAATTCAAACAGTAATATTACTTATAATTATTATATACAATCGCACATACACGTTACAAGTGTGAACTTATTTCTTATTATTACTTTATATTAACAAAAGAATACATTGGCATTTACAATATTTATTTATTATTTTTTTAATTTATTGTTTAAATCTATTGAAATTTTTAATCTATTGAATTTTGATTAAGCACGTGTGTAAATATTATCAGACTTACAAATTAAAAATTATTTGCATACTACACAGAAATATTAATTATATAAATCGAATTTCTTTAGAAAAAATAGATATTTATATATTTAAATTGAAGAAAATTTTTATAAAACTTAAATTATTTACTCAACACCACTCATTAATATATTATATAGGCATACATCGTGATAACACAAATATACTTTATAAATTTGTTGGCGAAATCACAAATCTATTTTCACCATTATGGTAATAAGATGTATGCGCAGCATTAATGAATTTAAAATTTTTATTTGTAATTTCACAACACTTTGATACGGGATTATACAATAACTAATTTAAAATATATAAATTTCATCAGATAAATATTATTTAATATGATACTTAATAAGACACATATAAAATTTTTTTTCAAAACTTAATAAAAAAAACAATGAAATTTATTAATTTATTCTATCAATAATGTCATTCTATAATTCAAATATTGTGTTTTTATATTTAAATCTTGCGAAGGATGAAAAATATTAGGATATAGTATAATACAATATATTAAATCTGTTATAAATATGTATATATGTATGTATATATATATATATATATATATATATATATATATATATATATATAGGATATATAATTAGGATAGCACATAAATTAGATGCAAGCCATAATCAAGAAGACAATTTTCTTTCATCGTTTAATGATAAAATTCCTATTTTCATATTTTCATTTGCTATTCTAAGGCCTACCGTATTTTAAATTAATATTAAATTAATTTTAGAAATAATATTAGTAGAAACACTATTAATTTAGAAAGCATTATTTTCAATATATATGAGATACTTAGAAAAATATTTTAAAATTCTGTATTTATAATGATCTTCCTAAATTGTTTATTAAATATTGTAGTTTTTAAACGATTGATACATTCATACTACATAAACTAATAAAAACTAATAAATAAATAAAACTACTAAAAAAAACTACTAAATAAACTAATAAAAAAATTTACTATTTTTAGAATGTAATTATTAAAATAGATTCAATTAACTTGAACTGGAATTTAACTTTTTAACTATTTTAGTGAATAAGATGACATTAAAATTAAGTTTTGTCTCGAAAAGTAATGTGCAATTCCATTAGCTTTTAACCGTTTGTTTAGACCGAAATGCGCGTATTTGCATGAGGAGTCAATAAACTAATACATTAAGTGCGCATGCCACAAATGGATGCCCTATCTACTCGGTCTATTATCTCTGCCTTTATTATTAGAAGTTGTTAATAAATATTACCATTTCTTAAGCGATTGATAATTCGTTGCACCGATGTATATAAATGGACATTTATACGAACGTACACTCTGATTCTATTATATTTTAAAATTATATTAATATTTAAGAGTTAAATCTATACATCATTAGCCGACTTTCAGTAATGTAAAGGTTATTCAGGTTAGTCAGACAAAATGCTGATTGATGTTTCGATTCTTTAAATTGGGCATCGAAGCTAATTCTAAAATAAATTATGAATATTTGAAAATTAAATACGTGATTTATCCTTTCAGAATTATCATCCATACTGACAACAATTATTTTATAATATATGAATATTTTGAGCAAAATTTTTTATAATTGCCGTCATTTAAAAAGAATATGTATATCTTTTGTATTTATACTTTCATAGAGATATTCTTTCTTTGTTAATGCTCGAATCAACCTTTAAGCAACTAATTAAGAAATGACCTCTAACACCTCAAAACAATTAACTTTATTCGAAAGTGTCATATGGGGTACATCGAAACAAGTACAACACATACTGGATCAACGTGATTTGACTTTTGATGATAGATGGACCGATTATGCACTTTTAATTACTGCACTACGGAAAAAGCGTAAAGAAATAGCAAAAATACTTCTAAAGAAAGGTTGCAGAATACAAAAAGTACCAAGAACTGATACCGCTGATACACCTCTTCATTATGCAGTAAAAATGGGTGATAATGAAATTGCTAATATTTTATTAAGCAAAGAAGCATCGATTAATGTCGTGGATCAAAATGGAGAGACACCACTCTGCCTTGCTATGAAACGGAAAAATTATGAAATGGTTGATTTAATTTTGTCTTCGAGTAATATTGGAGTTATTAATAGCACGGATACGGATGAATTTTCTCATTTTCATATCTCATGTATTCGAAATAATGTAAAAGTAGTTGAAAATTTTTTAAATCATGGAATTGATATGAATGGTCGTGTTAATTTTCTAGCAAAACAATGGCCTGGTTATACACCTTTACATTTTGCAGTTTATTATCACAACTTAAACGTACTCAAATTACTTTTAAAGTATAATGCAGACGTTACTATTAAGAATGCAGAAGGACTGACTCCTCTTCATTTAGCATTAAGGATGCATGATGATATAATTATAGATTTCATTTTATCTTCAGACAATCATAAAAATAGTAATCCCATTGATGAGAATGGACTTACACATTTTCATATTGCTTGTATGAAAAATCATTTGAAAGCAGTCGAAAACTTTTTAAAATATGATGTTGAAATTAATCAAGCTACCCTCTCATATTCAGCCTTATGGCCCAGATACACTCCATTGCACTTCGCAGTTAATGGTAAATTACAATCAGAATATTTAAAAATGTTTTGAAATATTTCTTTACTATTAATATTTAATATTGAATTGTTAATAACTTAGAGGATTTTCAACATTCTAAATATTTATTAAACCTGACATTATGAATTTATTATGAATAGCATCAATCAATAATTTATTTTTTATTTTTGTCTGCTTTCAGGTAATGGAACTTGTGAAATTAATGAATAAATAAAATATTAATATGCTCAGTTCGCAATATATAATAACTATATTATTTTTAGATTTCTCTCTAAGCAATAAGATGCAAATATCTGTGATTGAATTACTTCTACGCAATGGAGCAGATGTAAATATACGAAACTTACAAGGCGAAACACCTTTACATTTGGCGTGTCTACAAAACCAAAATAAAATTTCAAAATTATTAGAAGATATTTATTTGTTAGAGGATGATCTCAAAACAAATAAACTTCTTTTACGCGATAGGATATCTGAAATTATTAGCCAAATTGACCAAATTCAAATAATTCAAATGCTTTTGACTTATAAAAGTGATGTAAATGCAAAAAATATATGCAATGAAACACCTTTATTTTATTTGTTTAAAAATGATTTTGAAATTCGTACAAATAAAGTGAAAAGTGATGATATATTTAAAAACGTCATACAGCAATTTTATATGAAACGTAAAAAAATTTTAAATATTTTTCTTGACTTCAATGTTGACTTAACTGCTCGCAATCATATGGATGAAACAATATTGCATCTAATAGCGAATACTAATATGGAAGTTGACGATAACCAAAAGGAAGAAGTATCAGAATTAATTTTAAACAGGGGAGTCGATGTTAATGCTAGAAGTAAAAGTGGCTTATCACCACTACATCTGGCTGCTGAAAATGGACATGTAGATCTCATAAAAATTTTCTTAAAGTATAATGCAGATGTTAATGCTATTGAAACTTTACAAGAATGTACACCACTTCATTTTGCTACATCAAATCGAAATGTCAAAACTATAAATTTGCTTCTGGATAATGGAGCAGATGTAACTGCTGTAGAAAATAATAGAACAAACGTTCTTCATATTATGGCTCTTCTAAATCCTGAAAGTTCAAAGAAATCAGAGTTTGTAGATTCTTATGATCAAATGATTAAAAAATTTTTAAAATATGGTTGCGATATCAATGCTCAAGATATTAATGGAAAAACACCATTGCATTTAGCTGCTTTATATCGTAATACAGAAGCTACTTGGTGTTTTTTGCAACATTTTGCTGATATAAATATTTCAGACATCCATGGAGAAACTGCATTAAATTTTGCAATAAATAATACTGATTCTGTTGACATAGATAACATGTTTATGGATTATATAAATATGTTGCGAATGGCTGGATTGCACATTACCAAAAAGACAAATAGCGACTACTTAAAGTTATATGGAAGAAATCACCCTGATCCAAAAGATGATTTCCTAGTCCAATGTAAAGAAGAAATTGAGAAAATGAAAAGTCTAAAAATTAATAATTATTGCTCACTATACGATATCATATTTAAAAATTCTACTCAAATGGAATTATATGCTGGTCATAAATTGTTTCAAAATATTTTAAATTCAGATGATTTTGAAAAGAATTTTAATATTTATGGTAATTTATTAAAGTCACAATATCAAAAAGGCTTAAAACAGAAAATATTGTTAATAAATACGAAAAATTCATTAGAATTTATATTAGGTTTCAGACTTCCAGAGCCTTGTTTCAATTTGATATTTCAATATTTAAATAATAAGGATTTAAGTAATGTAATTAAAGCAAAAGCTTTAATAATGTCTGACAAAAAAAAATAAAAAAATAAAATTTTCGAAATTTGAATTATTGAACATCTATAGCATTTTTTTTTCAAATTTTCGTAGCCTTTGATATCAAAAATGGAGAACCCTATATGATTAAATAATATGTCACGATGATTAATGTTCTTAAATGATTAAATATTTAAATATACAACTGCATTATTCAATGAGCTGCAGACCCCAGATTCGTCATTGTGTTATAATCATTTAAAATGTTCCAGAATTTATTTTGAATAAATATAGTTTGTCGGAATACTGTAATAACAACAGAGTATACTATAATAAAGGAGCTCGTCTTTAATAGAATAATGTCATTTTTCATTTTGGTACGATGTATTTAGAATAATGAAAAATCTAAATAATCGATTCAACATATTCAATTTCTTAAAAATATAAATATTTGTTTGAATACCTGAATTCAACTACTTAATTGATGTATTTCAATACCTGATTTATTGTTTATGTTGTAAATGTAATAATTAAGCAAATTTAATGTGAAAACAAAAAGTAAACAATAGATCAGCAACTGCAACAAATGACCTCTGTTTCTTATACAATTGATCATTTAATAACTTTACATGATTTATTAATTTAAACTGAATTCTATTGTTAATTATTAAAATTATTTCTAAATAATGATTATGAAATTATTATTAATAATAACTTTATAATGAATTGATATTTCATTAAATATTTTGTATATAATTATTTATATAATTTACGTTTATATCTATTTTAAACAATAAACACACATGACACATTTATATTATTTTTATATTTGATTTCATACAGTACTATTAAAGTATTTTGATCTATGGAAATCCTTTTATATTAAATATCAGCGTTACGAAGAAGAGCAAAGAATGAGAAAGCGCTTTTAATCATCTGAAAAATATTGTTAATTTTAATTTTTTTGAAAATTATTTTAAAAAATACGTATTTAAATTATATACAACGCCAAATGTCTCCATAGAAAGTTTGACAAATCCTCCAGCGGTTAATTGCATTGGTTTTTGTGCTCTCATTATTAAGAAGTGCAGTATCTTATTTATACTTTTATGATTACCAACTTGTTTTAAACTAGTACTGTATGCTGCGTTTGCAATGGCATCACTCTTAGTAAGATATACAATTTTAATTAAGTATAATTCCAATTAAGTAATATGCATATTTAAATATTTACTTCTCTTAAGAGGCCATCAGGACTCCACTGATATGTGAAAAATTGAAATACATTCAATGTCATAAGTATCATATACTTAAAAAATTGTTCATCGTGCTATTCAAAGTATATTGTTTAGTTTTCTCGATTGAAAATGTAAATCTATTAAGTTCCTATTATTATAAATTACCTGAAACATTTTTATTCCAATCATAGATATGTTGTAAATTGTTGTAAATACTCCAACGAAGGAAATAATTCGCATAAATTGTTCGATTTCCTCACAATATCTAAATATTAAATCCAGTATTTTTATTCATATTGAATAATATATAAATGTAATTTATAACTTACACCATTATATTCTGATGAAACTTAGCACATTGAAGTACATCCTTATAAATTAATTCAGTTGTTTTATTTTGATTTTCTTTATCATTTGAATTTAGTTTATCCTGGCGTTCTGCTAATGATCTTAATCTTGTTCTAACAGATCTCAAGTATCCACATGCTAGTAAAATTACATAATATCCCGTGGCTTCGGCTGCTGTATTAATTACTACTATACTGTAAGTAACAATACCTTGAAATACATATACTATTGTGAATAATGGTTCTTCCTGAATATCTGCAAAATATCTGTATTTTGAAATCATTTAATTCGTTTACAATTTTCAAGATTACATAATCATTAGGATATATTAATTAAATTCTTATTTTGGTTATTTGAATTAATTACTATATATATATATATATAATATCAACGTCGACAAAGTATCAATATTGATTGTAAATGGAGTGATTATTGATTAATCCCATAGATTATGAAGGCTCTATTACTTTAAAAAGTGTGAATCATTCTCAATATATTAAACAAGTTCTTCATTTATTTTGAAACAATTACGTTTGTTAAATTTCTATACTGCAATTATACATGCGCAGAGACAATATATTGATCCAATGAATTTTATTATATTGAGTTAAATTAACAATTATAAGCATAAGATCTAAAGATATATGATGTAATTTTGAATACAAATTGTCAAATGTTACTAACTATAAAAATTAATTTTCTTGAGCATTACTATGCCAACGAGACTGATATTTGTGATTTATTATATTAAGCCAATTTGCAGAAGCCTAAATCAGTTCAATCAAATTAATATACTTCTTTAATAAATTATTGATATAGTTCGTTAACCAAACTGACCTTTTTTATTACGTTTGACGGTAATTTTGTTCATAACAAATAATATATGATTTCAAACATGAGCGGGTGGCTAACTTAGATACTAACCTGAATGGTAAAGTTCTTAATTGGGTTCCATTCACAGTTTCTGATGGTATTGATATAAAATGGGCAGTTAAAATAAATATTGTAACTACAAAAAATACATTGATCATGATGATATTCCAAAAGTAGTAAGCCTTTCTTTCGTATCTCCTAATGATGGTAGTTTCATCTGGAGTTACGTATGTCCAAAGTTGTTTGCACATCTTTATCAACTCTACAAATTTACGACGCTTATAAAAGAATAAAGCATAACGAACGCAAATATTCTCAACAATAATCTGTTCGCTGATGTAATCAATTTCGAAGCGCTTTAAACAATACATTTAAATAATATAAGTTTTGTCGAATTTCACATAAGTCTATAAATAGGTTAATGATAAGTTATTATTATAAATTTATATTTAATATGATATAAGTTCTAATATATGTTTATTTAACAAATCGATAATAATAAAAAATTATAATAAACATTCAGAACAGAAAAAATTTTATTATTGAAAATAAATAAATAGGATCATAAAGAGCATTCAAACAATTTTGAATTAAACATTGGAAAAAGTCTACAAAAATTATTATACCTTTCTTCTTAACATTTGTATTCCATATCCAACGAACATGCTTTTATAAGATAGGACCATAAGAGACCAAAACACATTCAATAATTTCGTGCCAATAAATTCTAATGTTTTACCCTCAAAAGGAATGAAGCCAACAAGTTGGAAAAGTCTTATATGAGGCCTCGATATTTCCTCGTATGTCCAGATTTTATTTTTATTCATTATTGAGAGGTCGGAACGGTTTTTTTTGCAATCGTAAATATTCAATCGATTATTATAAACAATAGGTATATATTTAATTTTTGAATATTCATTTAAATATTTCAAATTTTTTTAAGTACAGTTTATTTGATTTATATTTGTTTTAAATGATTTCAAGATGAATTAATCAGATCTATTTATGAATATAAATGATATAAATATTATTTTCATGTAGTTGAAGACAAATGTTTGAACTGTAAAGTTTTAAGTTCTGCTAATTCTGTAAATAATTTAATAAGTATAGTATATTATTACTATTTTTAAAATTAATTTTAACTTTTAATAAATTACGCGCGCCCGTGTATGCGAGGGGATATAAAATTTGTCAATAAAGTATACAATGTATGTACAGATTTTTTATTAATAGAATGTACATACATATTTAAGCAATACCGATATATATATATAGAAAAAAAGAAGCAAATTTTTTTTTATCTCTAAACCGAGATAAATAATTGAACAAAATGAATACACAAATACGATCTTATAAGATGAGATATAAAAATAGATTTAAATAAAAAGTAAAATAACTAAAGGAAGAATTGCTAGTAAAAAAAAAAATGATAAAATATATGACAATATTATTATGAATATCTAATTATATAAAAAATAATACCTTGATTCGAAAATCAATAATGAAATCATTGAATCAGATGCGAAGTAATTTTGAAATTAACAATAATAATTTAATAATGATAAACAATACTTGCAGAGTTTTAAAGACTTGCACGATACAGTTATTTGTTGTTTTCTAGTTGTATCTTAGATATTAAATTATTTCAATTACATGGCAAAAAATTATGAAGAAAATCTTTCATTTGTAGAAAGATTAAGAGGAAAAAAATTTGTTAATATTAAAGTAACATTAAAAACTATGAACATTTAATTAGAAATAATAAAATCCAAATTTAAAATCCTTATTTGTCTACATTTGTCCATAACATTCTTTATAATGTAAGATAAAAAATCATCAACAAAAATATATTTGTAATAATAGCAAAATACTATTGAAATTTTTTTGAGAGTAACAATTCATGTCGATACAATATAAAAATTTAAATATATCTAAAATGGTATTTACGGAAAATTCTAAATTCTGAATACGAAAATTATTTATAATAGTATATTACGAATTCCTTTACTATTATTTATAATGTGATGAAATGCTTATCAATTTTTACATTAATTATATATATATATATATATATATATATTTATAGTAAAATTTAAATATTAATCAAATATTTACGAACCATTGGATTTTGTTTGGCAGGTTTTGTAGCAGTCAAAGTCACTAAGCTTACACGAAATCCTAAATTCAGTTGCTGATTTAGCAGTCAAAATTATTGAATCTAAATGTTTTTTAAATAAAACATAAGATTTATAAATTTAATGTATAAAACTTATCTGCTCGCTATTCTATACATTGACAAATATAAAGTGAGTCCTCTAACCGATTTTGAAATGAAAAGCAAAGCAAGGGGCTATTTAAAAAAGAATAATGTCATTAGAGTAAATTTCAATCAATTAGTTGAATTGGTATTATTATGTATTCTAGTTACTATAAATAAAATTCAAATACCGTGAGATTATCAGATCTTCCTATGTACGATGCTACTTTGTCCTTTAATATGTGATGAATGTATAGCCTTCGTAATGATTCATCTACACTTTACTCCGATATTTTTTGTTACTTATTTATCAGCTATTTATTACGGCATTACACTCCTCTACACCGATGTTCTTTAGTGTAAATCCGTCGCTCGAGAAATCTTATATTTTTAATTTTCTTTATAATTAAATGTAAAAGATATTTTATATTTATTTTAATTCTGCTTTCAAGGTTCCAAACTTTATTCAATATGCAACGTAAATTTGTAGTATAGTATAATATTATGTTAATAAATGAAATTCATCATCGCATAGTTATTAGATATAAATATTTCATTATTGACATCAAGTAAGTAACAAATTGAGATAAAAATATAAAGTATTATGAGGTATTGCAAAATTTGGTGTAAATTTATATAACGATTTTGTGTTTTAAAGTTTATGATCACAAGTAAGTTTAGCTTCGGTTTTATTATGTCTTGCAATCGGAAATATTCGTTAGTAATGTTGTAAAGGTGTATAAGTATCGCATAATCTTATCATACGAGTTCTAATTTTTCATTATCCTTTTAATAATGGAGTATGCGTATTGCATTAGTCATATTTTTTGTTAGTATGATTCTTACCACTCACAGATATATTTTTATGTCACAACTATTTTATATATTTTATATATTTTACATAATTAATAGATCACATACAATAAATACAATACAATATATCATAATTAATTTTGTATTTTTTAAAACACAATAATTCTGAATTTTCTAATAAATACTTTATTCGCAATTATTTGTTACTAAACCGTATTTCTTTAATGTTAATTATAAATGTAAGAATAATATGCGCTTTGTTTCACTAGTTGCTTTGTATAACATTTTTAACAAATTTGCATAAGTTATTTGGATTTAAGTATAACCATTAATCTATGTGTTTAAAGTGTATTTGTTTTCACGTTATTCATAATATGAAAATATAACATTACATGTCTTTAGTTTACATAAAAAGATTTCAAAATAATTTGAAATATTTATTATTTTATCGAAGTTATTTTATCGAAGCGTAATGAAAATAAACGATGGAATTCTAAAATTAAAAGCTTGTGTTTTTATATTCATATATTACGAAGAGTCGTATATATTATAATATAAAATCCTTATTTTATTTGATTTTCTTTTATTGTATAATGAAAACATTTTTATTTTTATTTTATGATTTACTACTAGATAGCTTTACGTACTTTAGCATTAATATTGAATTCATTTTAGAAATGATATATTTCTGTGTAATAATTGAATTATTTCTTATTAAAATTCTATTTAATGTCCAATTATAAATATATGTATTATAGATGATACAAGATATTTAGAAAAGTATTAAAAAATTATGTATTTATTTTTCTTCATAAATTGTTTTTTAAACATTATTATTTTAAAAGATTTTTATATTGATACAAATTGAAAAATAAAAATTATTTTTTATTTTACAACTTCAAATATATTATTATATAAGTAGATAGTATTTGAAATATTATCTCAAATTTATACTTCGATCCTTTTCTGTGCCAAAAATGCAAGAAAAATTCAAAGACTATGGAGGATTTGATGATTTCTTTATTTAATATTTAATTTATCGATCTCTTATTGACCATTGTTTTCATGGCAGAGTTTTTCTGTTGATAGCGCTGGCTGATTGATATTGAATTAAGTTTTAATACCTATGTTGATTTTAATTGCATACATTTAATATTATGAAGAGCTTCCCTTTAATAATGATTTCATTTAATACATTCGTCTTCCTTCAATCTTCCTCGGTGAATCTACTACTCGGATTAAATGGTACTTATTGGTTTTTGTGAATAGAATAATCTGATAACAGAAAAAAGCTGACTGGAGGTTCGTCTAATTAAGTAGATTCAATGTAACATATAATAATTATTGGACCTTTTTCCTAATGTCTATGAGATATAATTGTGTTATAATACTTTACATCGATAATGATAACATCACTTGACAATAGCTTCATTTTAATTAAACTGATTAATAGCCCCAATAAATAATATCAACAATTATTTCAGATTCTGATTAAGAGTATAAAAGATATATAAAAGAAGTATAAAACATAGGTTTAAGAGAAAGATGCGTCGACGTTGTATCACTATTTTTTCCTCGTTACGGCTATACTTACGGCTTTTTTTATAAAATAAAATGAACAAATAAAAAGCTTTGATAGAATGATCTGCAATTCATTAATCCTATAAATAGTAAGAAATAATAATATTTTTATTTTATTAGAGAAAAAAAATATAATATATTTTTTTATAAAAAGGATTATGCTGTACAAGTACAAAAAAATAAGTAATAAATAAAATAAACAGCTCTAAAATTATAATTTAACAAATTTAAATAAAATAATTACCCACATACAGACATTGTATAAAATAATGTAACTTAAATTCGAACTATACGATAGAAGCTTTATCGATAATTAATTCATGGAAAATTATATTCATAAATTTAAATACATTTACTGGTTATACTCATCTAGTAATATATACCTGTCAGTCAAATTCCACTATATTTAATATTATTATTTATTATTAAATGATTATTATTCATAGTTTTCTATATTGTTATTTCTGCTATAAATCCAACATTAATAAAAGCAAATTATATCTAAATCGGAACGTTCCACGACTTTTCCTTCATTTTTATATACTATCATTCCATCGAATAAAATTTCATCTATGGCACTGCACATGCATCGAAAAGTGCACTGATAGATACCTTCTAAATTGAGTTAATAAATGCGCCAATAAATATTCAAACAACATATTTTTAATAATATCAATAAAAAATCGTAAAGTAAATATTTATAATATAATAATATTTACAATATAAATGTTAAACAATGAGTAAATTGATAATTAATGGAAAAAGGGAATAGAAAACTTCTTCTGTAAGTGTATTACAAACATAGTACATCAACAGATTTCGATTACAATATTTTTAGAATGTAATTATTAAAATAGATTCAATTAACTTGAACTGGAATTTAACCTTTTAACTATTTTAGTGAATAAGATGACATTAAAATTAAGTTTTGTCTCGAAAAGTAATGTGCAATTCCATTAGCTTTTAACCGTTTGTTTAGACCGAAATGCGCGTATTTGCATGAGGAGTCAATAAACTAATACATTAAGTGCGCATGCCACAAATGGATGCCCTATCTACTCGGTCTATTATCTCTGCCTTTATTATTAGAAGTTGTTAATAAATATTACCATTTCTTAAGCGATTGATAATTCGTTGCACCGATGTATATAAATGGACATTTATACGAACGTACACTCTGATTCTATTATATTTTAAAATTATATTAATATTTAAGAGTTAAATCTATACATCATTAGCCGACTTTCAGTAATGTAAAGGTTATTCAGGTTAGTCAGACAAAATGCTGATTGATGTTTCGATTCTTTAAATTGGGCATCGAAGCTAATTCTAAAATAAATTATGAATATTTGAAAATTAAATACGTGATTTATCCTTTCAGAATTATCATCCATACTGACAACAATTATTTTATAATATATGAATATTTTGAGCAAAATTTTTTATAATTGCCGTCATTTAAAAAGAATATGTATATCTTTTGTATTTATACTTTCATAGAGATATTCTTTCTTTGTTAATGCTCGAATCAACCTTTAAGCAACTAATTAAGAAATGACCTCTAACACCTCAAAACAATTAACTTTATTCGAAAGTGTCATATGGGGTACATCGAAACAAGTACAACACATACTGGATCAACGTGATTTGACTTTTGATGATAGATGGACCGATTATGCACTTTTAATTACTGCACTACGGAAAAAGCGTAAAGAAATAGCAAAAATACTTAGTATACTAAGTATTAGTTACTACTAACTATAAAATGTTCCAGAATTTATTTTGTATAAATATAGTTTGTCGGAATACTGTAATAACAACAGAGTATACTATAATAAAGGAGCTCGTCTTTAATAGAATAATGTCATTTTTCATTTTGGTACGATGTATTTAGAATAATGAAAAATCTAAATAATCGATTCAACATATTCAATTTCTTAAAAATATAAATATTTGTTTGAATACCTGAATTCAACTACTTAATTGATGTATTTCAATACCTGATTTATTGTTTATGTTGTAAATGTAATAATTAAGCAAATTTAATGTGAAAACAAAAAGTAAACAATAGATCAGCAACTGCAACAAATGACCTCTGTTTCTTATACAATTGATCATTTAATAACTTTACATGATTTATTAATTTAAACTGAATTCTATTGTTAATTATTAAAATTATTTCTAAATAATGATTATGAAATTATTATTAATAATAACTTTATAATGAATTGATATTTCATTAAATATTTTGTATATAATTATTTATATAATTTACGTTTATATCTATTTTAAACAATAAACACACATGACACATTTATATTATTTTTATATTTGATTTCATACAGTACTATTAAAGTATTTTGATCTATGGAAATCCTTTTATATTAAATATCAGCGTTACGAAGAAGAGCAAAGAATGAGAAAGCGCTTTTAATCATCTGAAAAATATTGTTAATTTTAATTTTTTTGAAAATTATTTTAAAAAATACGTATTTAAATTATATACAACGCCAAATGTCTCCATAGAAAGTTTGACAAATCCTCCAGCGGTTAATTGCATTGGTTTTTGTGCTCTCATTATTAAGAAGTGCAGTATCTTATTTATACTTTTATGATTACCAACTTGTTTTAAACTAGTACTGTATGCTGCGTTTGCAATGGCATCACTCTTAGTAAGATATACAATTTTAATTAAGTATAATTCCAATTAAGTAATATGCATATTTAAATATTTACTTCTCTTAAGAGGCCATCAGGACTCCACTGATATGTGAAAAATTGAAATACATTCATTATCATAATTATCATGTATTTCAAAAATTGCCCATCGTGCTATTAAAAGTATATTGTTTAGTTTTCTCGATTGAAAATGTAAATCTATTAAGTTCATATTATTATAAATTACCTGAAACATTTTTATTCCAATCATTGATATGTTGTAAATTGTTGTAAATACACCAACGAAGGAAATATTTCGCATAAATTGTTCGATTTCCTCACAATATCTAAATATTAAATCCAGTATTTTTATTCATATTGAATAATATATAAATGTAATTTATAACTTACACCATTATATTCTGATGAAACTTAGCACATTGAAGTACATCCTTATAAATTAATTCAGTTGTTTTATTTTGATTTTCTTTATCATTTGAATTTAGTTTATCCTGGCGTTCTGCTAATGATCTTAATCTTGTTCTAACAGATCTCAAGTATCCACATGCTAGTAAAATTACATAATATCCCGTGGCTTCGGCTGCTGTATTAATTACTACTATACTGTAAGTAACAATACCTTGATATACATATACTATTGTGAATAATGGATCTTCCTGAATATCTGCAAAAAATCTACATTTTGAAATCCTTTAATTCTTCTAGAGTTTTCAATATTATATAAACATTAGAAGATACTCATTAATTATTCTTATTGGTCATTTGAATTAATTAATATATATATATATATAATATGAACGTCAACAAAGTATCAATATTGATTGTAAATGGAATGATTATTGATTAATCCCATAGATTGTGAAGTTTCTATTACTTTAAAAAGTGTGAATCATTCTCAATATATTAATCAAGTTCTTCATTTATTTTGAAACAATTACGTTTGTTAAATTTCTATAATTCATTCGAGTACATGACAAATAATTTCAACGAGACATAATTAAATCGTACAACAACCTCCGAAATTATTTTTAAAAACCACTAAAAATAATTCTATAAGAAGAGTCATATAATTTTCAGTAAATTCTATATAAATAGAAATGATGTCCAAAAATTCCTAAATAAATAACACTTTTTTTCTTTTCTGCATTAATTTGGGAAAAGTTTTCTTATAAGTCTATAAAATTAATTGATAAAGTATACATAAAGTCAATAATTTATTAACAATGTTATAAATAATACAAAATGAAAATTCTGGAAGCAATTATACAAACGCCGATACATTACATTAGTCAAGTTGATATAACAATCATAGAAAGAAGTTTGTTAAGTTATTACATATTGTTCTTTTGATTACAGTATATTGAACATTTGCATTTGAAAAATTGATTTTATTGACAATTAGTATAACCACATAACTTTTATGGTTTTTCTATTAAGGCAATTTGACGAAAGCTAATTTAAAATTAATATAATTCGATAACAAATTCTAACAATATTTGTTATAATAGCTGTAAGAGCTTCAGACGCTAATTTTTTATGAACTTGAAGGTAAGAATTTTTTATAACAAATAATATATGATTTCAAACATGAGCGGATGGCTAACTTAGATACTAACCTGAAGGGTAAAGTCTTTAATTGGGTTCCATTCATAGTTTCTGATGGTATTGATATAAAATGGGCAGTTAAAATATATATTGTAACTGCAGAAAATACATTGATCATCATTATATTCCAAATATAATAAGCTTTTCTTTCGTATCTCCTAATGATCGTAGTTTCATCTGGAGTTAGGTATGTCCAAAGTTGTTTGCACATCTTTATCAACTCTACAAATTTACGACGCTTATAAAAGAATAAAGCATAACGAACGCAAATATTCTCAACAATAATCTGTTCGCTGATGTAATCAATTTCGAAGCGCTTTAAACAATACATTTAAATAATATAAGTTTTGTCGAATTTCACATAAGTCTATAAATAGGTTAATGATAAGTTATTATTATAAATTTATATTTAATATGATATAAGTTCTAATATATGTTTATTTAACAAATCGATAATAATAAAAAATTATAATAAACATTCAGAACAGAAAAAATTTTATTATTGAAAATAAATAAATAGGATCATAAAGAGCATTCAAACAATTTTGAATTAAACATTGGAAAAAGTCTACAAAAATTATTATACCTTTCTTCTTAACATTTGTATTCCATATCCAACGAACATGCTTTTATAAGATAGGACCATAAGAGACCAAAACACATTCAATAATTTCGTGCCAATAAATTCTAATGTTTTACCCTCAAAAGGAATGAAGCCAACAAGTTGGAAAAGTCTTATATGAGGCCTCGATATTTCCTCGTATGTCCAGATTTTATTTTTATTCATTATTGAGAGGTCGGAACGGTTTTTTTTGCAATCGTAAATATTCAATCGATTATTATAAACAATAGGTATATATTTAATTTTTGAATATTCATTTAAATATTTCAAATTTTTTTAAGTACAGTTTATTTGATTTATATTTGTTTTAAATGATTTCAAGATGAATTAATCAGATCTATTTATGAATATAAATGATATAAATATTATTTTCATGTAGTTGAAGACAAATGTTTGAACTGTAAAGTTTTAAGTTCTGCTAATTCTGTAAATAATTTAATAAGTATAGTATATTATTACTATTTTTAAAATTAATTTTAACTTTTAATAAATTACGCGCGCCCGTGTATGCGAGGGGATATAAAATTTGTCAATAAAGTATACAATGTATGTACAGATTTTTTATTAATAGAATGTACATACATATTTAAGCAATACCGATATATATATATAGAAAAAAAGAAGCAAATTTTTTTTTATCTCTAAACCGAGATAAATAATTGAACAAAATGAATACACAAATACGATCTTATAAGATGAGATATAAAAATAGATTTAAATAAAAAGTAAAATAACTAAAGGAAGAATTGCTAGTAAAAAAAAAAATGATAAAATATATGACAATATTATTATGAATATCTAATTATATAAAAAATAATACCTTGATTCGAAAATCAATAATGAAATCATTGAATCAGATGCGAAGTAATTTTGAAATTAACAATAATAATTTAATAATGATAAACAATACTTGCAGAGTTTTAAAGACTTGCACGATACAGTTATTTGTTGTTTTCTAGTTGTATCTTAGATATTAAATTATTTCAATTACATGGCAAAAAATTATGAAGAAAATCTTTCATTTGTAGAAAGATTAAGAGGAAAAAAATTTGTTAATATTAAAGTAACATTAAAAACTATGAACATTTAATTAGAAATAATAAAATCCAAATTTAAAATCCTTATTTGTCTACATTTGTCCATAACATTCTTTATAATGTAAGATAAAAAATCATCAACAAAAATATATTTGTAATAATAGCAAAATACTATTGAAATTTTTTTGAGAGTAACAATTCATGTCGATACAATATAAAAATTTAAATATATCTAAAATGGTATTTACGGAAAATTCTAAATTCTGAATACGAAAATTATTTATAATAGTATATTACGAATTCCTTTACTATTATTTATAATGTGATGAAATGCTTATCAATTTTTACATTAATTATATATATATATATATATATATATATTTATAGTAAAATTTAAATATTAATCAAATATTTACGAACCATTGGATTTTGTTTGGCAGGTTTTGTAGCAGTCAAAGTCACTAAGCTTACACGAAATCCTAAATTCAGTTGCTGATTTAGCAGTCAAAATTATTGAATCTAAATGTTTTGTAAATAAAACATAAGATTTATAAATTTAATGTATAAAACTTATCTGCTCGCTATTCTATACATTGACAAATATAAAGTGAGTTCTCTAACCGATTTTGAAATGAAAAGCAAAGCAAGGGGCTATTTAAAAAAGAATAATATTATTAGCATAAATTTTAATCAGCTAGTTAAATCGCTATATATATTTATTCTGGTTACTAAAAATAAAATTCAAATACCGTGAGATTATCAGATCTTCCTATGTGCGATGCTACTTTGTCCTTTAATATGTGATGAATGTATAGCCTTCGTAATGATTCATCTACACTTTACTCCGATATTTTTTGTTACTTATTTATCAGCTATTTATTACTGCATTACACTCCTCTATACCGATATTGTTTAGTGTAAATCCGTCGCTCGAGAAATATTATATTTTTAATTTTCTGTGTAATTAAATATAATAAGATATTTTAAGTTTATTTTAGTTCTGCTTTGAAGCTTTCAAACTTTATTCAATATGCAACGTAAATTTGTAGTATAGTATAATATTATGTTAATAAATGAAATTCATCATCGCATAGTTATTAGATATAAATATTTCATTATTAAAATTTAAGTAAGTAATAAGTATATCAATTAATTAATTCAGACAATGAATATATTGTATATTTAACTCTTACTTCATTATATATCTTGTGTTCTATAGTTGTAATGCATTATACGATGAATTGAATAATGCGTTCAAAAATATGTAATAAAAAAATTGTTAAAAAAAGTTGTTGAATTACAAATTAATGAATACATTTATCTAAATTCAATTTCAGAACAATAATATAGACTTTTAAACTCTAATGTAATTCATTTTAATTTAAATAAATAAAGTTCATTTAATGTATGATTGAAACATTATTCTTAAACTATTACTGAATTCTGATGTCAAATATAATTGGAGAGTTGGAGTAGAATTAATTAACATTTTTTATAATACAGTTTAATAAACTATAAATAAGTATTAATTATTATTATAAAATAACTTACATATATCAAGTAACTTATAAGAATAATTAGCTTTATAAATTAAATGTTCAAATATTTGTATTATTCTAAGTTGTTTAAAAAATATTTTAAAAAATCATTTAAAAATTTAATTTCTTTCATACACAAAAAACTTACATGTTTTTAGGAGTTACTGATGGTTCATAAAGGTTTAACTTTTCTTTTTAAATATTAGTTTTATAATTCGAATTCATTTGTGCTATTATTACTACGAATTTTACAAATATTGCAAAATTATAAAACAGTGTAATATATATAAGTTATATAAGAAGCAAAACACAAGTTCTTATAGTTTTCTATATACAATCCAAAAATATTTTTAAAGAACCTATCAATTATTGCATTTTTGTTGTTTTGAATAATTTTTTTCCAATTCTAACATTCCCTAGGTTACATATTTCTTTAGTATAAGTCTAAAAATTACATATTTATTAATTACGTGTTCACGCATAAAACGTGTTGAATTGCACTGGAAAATTTTCAAGTAGTCATTTAGATTATTGATACGCTACTAATTTTCTTAATTATAACAGATCATAATCCATTATCTAAAATAATTTAAGAGATTTGAGCGATATGAAATATTTTTAAAGCGAGTCTTGCGTTCTCTTGATATATTGTGATATTTTAGTTATTTTCCATATTTTTAGTTTTATCATTTCAAAGAGCAAATCTTTCGAAAAGTAATAAATTTCTATTTTCGATGAAACGCAATTGTAATATTTTTCTTATCTTTTTTGAGTTTAGAAATTTATTTAAAGCCAACCGATGCCTGATCGTACATTAAAAATATCACTGCGTATGACATTAGAAATAGAAATATTCGATAAATAAAAATGCACGTATGAAAATGTATGTAAATTTTCTTTTTATGATATTTTTCATTAAATTTTTCACTTTCTTATATCTTAATAACACATTATTTGTTTATATATCTGATAGTAGAATATGTTATACAATACACACTATTTATAAATTAGTTATTTATTTAAATTATAGATATTTCATAAACTGATTATATTTTCACTTACTCCGGTATCTCTTTATACACTATTTTTCATGCTTTTGTAATTAATCAGCGTAATCAATTTAAAAAAATTTTTTAATATCGATTTTATATGTTTTTTTGCGTTAATATTTTATTTAAAAAATTTTCTTATACAAATATAATAAATGAAAGTATTTGGTTAAAGTACTGAAAATAAACTTTCTTAATTTTTGTAAATACATTGGAAGTAAAAAGGAATAATGTCATTAGCGTAAATGTCAATCAATTCAACCGAAATAAAATTGATATATCGTGAGATTATCAGATCTTCCTATGTGCGATGCTACTTTGTCCTTTAATATGTGATGAATGTAAAGGCTTCGTAAACGATCCATCTACACTTTACTCCGATATTTTTTGTTACTTATTTAACAGCTATTTATTGCGGTATTGCACTCCTCTTCACCGATGTTCTTTAGTGTAAATCCGTCGCTCGAGAAATATTATATTTTTAATTTTCTTTGTAATTAAATGTAATAATATGTTTTACGTTTATTTTAATTCTGCTTTCAAGCTTCCAAACTTTATTCAATATGTCTAAGCCATGTAAATTTGAAGTGTAGTATAATTATATGATAATAACTGAAATACCTCGTATAGTTGTTAGATATAAATATTTAATTATTGACATCAAGTTAGTAATAAGTTGAGATAAAAATATAAAGTATTATGAGGTATTGTAAAATTTGGTGTAAATTTATAGAACGATTTTTCGTTTTAAAGTTTATGATCACAAGTAAGTTTAGTTTCGGTTTTATTATGTCTTGCAGTCCGAAATATTCGTTAGTAATGTTGTAAAGGTGTATAAGTATCGCATAATCTTATCATACGAGTTCTAATTTTTCAATATCTATTGAATAACGAAGTAAGCCTGTTGTATTAGGCATATTTTTTGTTGATTTATTCAGAATTTCGGAACTTATTCACTTAAATATAATATTTAATTCATATCGCATTATTATCAAAAAAGACAAAAAAATTTATACTTATCAGCAGGTTCACCGAATTGCTCATTTAGATTCAATTGTTTTTTTTTGACGAACTTATAGAATATAATTGCTCTTATATAGTAAATTTTGAATTTTGCATGTATTAATGATACTGATCGATAATACTAATCGATACTGCAAAGAAAAGTTAAGAATAAAAACACATTTTCAACTGTTTAAAAAATTATATATTTTACAATTTCATAAATATGAGTATAAATTTTTTAAAAAACATATCCAAGTCATAGGGAGATCCAAATATTTCTATTGAATGTTTTAGGTATCAGTAATTGATTCTATTTATTTCTGTACCGTTAGTATGAAATGCAGTTTGTTATTCAATTTTTCATGGAGACAAACTTTTTTGAACATATTAAAACATGCTGCTTTTGCAAATAGTCGGATAAGTACAATAGAATAAATATTATTATATTAATCGATTTTCATGCGTATTTGCATATTATAATAAATTAAGTGAACCGAATTTTCATTTTTTTTTTTTCAATTTGATTTTAAAATTATATATTTAAATGTAAGAAAATAAAATAAAATTTATATAAAATAAAAAAAATATATTAATTTTTATTAATATATGAAGAATGACGTAGAATAAAAATAATTTTTAGTTTTCCAAAATTTATTTCTAATTTTCTTATTATTTAAATTCCTTGTTTTATATGTGTTTGGCTAAAATATACGTACAATTATATTTATTACATAAAATTGTTGAGTTTAATTTTAAGCTGTTCATTATATTGGTATTTATTTTGTAGGATTATCAATATAACATTTAGTTGTTCACAGTACAATAATTTATTAGCTTTGTATACTTTATATACAAAATTATAATTTAGTATAAAAATAGATCTTTAAATGAGAAAAGAATTATTGAATTAATAATAATTAAATATGCAACAAGTTTTTGTAATAGCTAATAAAAGTTTTTATTAAGTACTATACTTACTAAAACATGACAAAATTAAACTAAATTTAAGTCTACGCTTGAAACTGAAGTAAATATTAATGAATTTATAATTACCAAAGTATTCATAATTTAAAAATAAACATTATAAATAATAGTAATGTCTGTACTAAAATAAATACTATTTTAACTAATATGGTTTTATATTTTTTGTCATGATTTATTTATCTTATTCGATCATTTAGAATATTAGCTTTTGATTAAAAGGTATACATAGCTGTATATTTTCGAGAATTAATCAATTCTCATAATTTTGTTTTTTACGCAGATTATCCACTTATTAAAGGACATAGCAAAAGCACGGCAATAAGAATCCTAAATCGTAATATAATGATATTCGATTTAAAAAAATTTTAAATTATGATTACTTTATTGATTGTAAATTCATACTTTGGATTGATAATTTATGATATGAGCAGATTAGGTATTTTAAAAATTTGTATACAAATCATTAAGGCTTTTATGATTTTTAAAGAAGTTTAAACGCTAATGAAACAAAACTTTATATTATTTTCTGGTATTTCTGACATATTTTATACAAGATACTTTCGATTCTACAGTGAATTTTATTTCAATTAACTAAAGCTTCAAATAATGGTAATTGCATATATAAAAGCAAGTAGTGAAATTATTGAAAGTTTTTAATATTCTTAATTTTACATAACTCGTCATTCAAGTTTTTTGGATATTACTTACATTTAGAAATGAGTTTTTGTTGATAACTGTAGATACATTGACGTACTTTATAATTACATATACTGTACATATCTTTAATTATTATGTTAATATAATTAATATGTTAATATATACATATTTTGCATCTAAATTATTTAAGAATATTAAATTATTATAAAATAATACATTATTAAGTATTTAGTTCTTCTTAATTATTTCGTTGTAGATTGAAAAATTCTAAAAGATCTTGATATCTTTTGGAATTGTAAATTAACAATTCTAAAAATTTATTCTGTCAAATAAAAACGAGTCGAATTGAAAGCTTATGAAATATTGCAAACTTACCATGTATGTTATACGCCTAGAGAATTTTTTTTACCTTGAAATAAAAACGATAATGTATTTAATTTATTAATTAATTTATTTAATTTATTACATAATGTATATAATGAATTTATAATTTATATAATGAAATTAGTAACATAAAATTTTAGAATAAACTTTTTCAATGTATTGCCTTTACAATTGCCTTTTTCTATTAGATAAAATAAATTTTTATTCTGATTCTCTATATTGTATTACTCATTTAAAAGTGTTGTAGTCATTTCACAAATAATAATTTACTAGGTTATCAATAAATAAATATTTTTTAATAATATTTAATTGTAAGCGGAAGGAAAAATTAAATTTTTAGAACATAGCAATAATTAATAAATTTATTTTCTTTAATAAATATATATATTTTATTTAACTTTTCAAATATTTCTTATATATAACACTATGGATTATAATATACTAGATGTCATAAATATTTTTTTAATTGTGTTGGAGTGAAAAGAATAAATATTTATAACATATGTGGAATTAATAAATTAATTTTATTTAACGAATATTTATTTTATTTAATTTTTCAAATATATCATAAATGTGAACTATGTATTTGAATATACTAGATGTCAAATGTGCGAAGAAGAGTAAATAATGAAATGGCACTTTTAATCATCTGAAAAAAAACATGAATTTTAAAACCAATGCTATCTTTAGCATATGTATAAATATATATTTTTTCATTTAATTATATACGTTGGTAAATGTTTCCAAGGAAAGTTTTATATATCCACCAGCAGTTAATTGAATTGGTTTTTGTGCTCTCATTATTAGGAAATGAAGAATTTTATCAGATTTTCGGTGCTGCCCAATCAGTTTTGATCGTAGATGATACGCTCCATATACTATAGCTTCACTCTTTTAGCAAAACGTTAAATACAATTATTAACAATAATAATACAATTGAATAATTTAAGTACTACATACTGACTTCCGTTAAAAGATATTCAGGACTCCATTGATATGTATAAAATTGAGCAATGTTCCATATAAGAAGTATAAACCATTTGACTGATTGTTCATCAGTTTCCTGTTAAAAATAGGCATTTAAAATATTATATACATAACGAGAGGTGTTAATGTTATTTGATTTACCTTCAGTAAAGATATACCAACAAAAGATATGTTATAAATATTAGTTGCAACGCAAACAAAATATATACTTCTCATAAAATCTTCCACTTCCTCACTATACCTAAAGTAAAATATCACGTGTTTTTATAATCTAGTTAAATTTACGTATTCAATTTAATTACTTACAACATGATACTTTGATGAAACTTAGCACATTTAACTATCTCATGGTACATTAATTCAATTGTATAGGGATTTTCTTTACTATTCGTGTTAATCTCATTCTGACCTTCTGACATTAAAATTAATCTAGTTTGAAGAGATCTTAAATAACCACATGCTGTTAAGATTAAATAGAATTCAATTGGTTCCATTCCTACAGTTAGTAATGATACGTGGGATTCAAGGATAATTTGATACAACACTGCTACTATGTACCATGATCGATCGTAAATATCCACGTAAAATCTGTATTTTAAATTATTTTTTCAGATTTTAGGAAGTTATTAAAATTGATTATTGAACTTCTATTAAATTTTACAGTGCTACATTTTTATTTATTATGAAATTATATTCGTATCAGTTATGTAGATCAATTTAAGAGAGTAATAGAGTAGGAATTAATATATAGTCATCTCATTTAAAGTTAAAGTTGAATGTAAATATTTATTTTAATGATAACTTAGTCTTTTATTTGCCTCTAAATATTTATAATCATACAATAATTCAATCATTTTAAATTGTTGAAATAATTTGAATGAAGGGCTGTTCATTCTTTTGTCACCAATGCGCTTCGCAAACTGTGTTTTGTTTGCCGAAGATTAAATTATTGAATCGTAAATTAAGTAAGCATTGAAACATAATTCACTATAAGACAATTCACTAAAAGAAATTCACTATATAATAAGTAAGTGGAAAGTGATGTAAGCAAATAATTTGTAAAATAATTCCTGATGATCATTTTTGGATTTTTCAAAGTATTTTAAGATGAATATTTGAGTATATTTCGGTACTGGTAATGTCAAGTTTTCCTAACCCCGTTTCTCTCATATATATTTAAGCATGTTAATATATACATAATATATATAATATATACGTGATTCTATTAAGAGACTCGTTATTTTATTGTCTTATGATTATTATAATACCGTATATAAGAATGAATGACGAAGTGATTCCAACAAATTTTTATTTATTTGTATATTGATTTGTTTGAATGTTGTATATATTCGAGTAGATAAACTATATATTTATTCTTAAAAAAAAATATATTCATATCAGATACTAACTTAAATGGCATTGTCCTTGGTTGTGTTTCATTCATAAATATTGGTTCGTATTTTAACATTACAGAACTTAGAGTAAAGGATGAGAAAATAATAAATATTACAACTGATATTGTAGCCCAGATGTAAAAAATTATCCTTTCGAAACTCCTCATGATTACAGTTTCTGATGGTAGTATATGTGGCCAAAGTTCTCTGCACATTGTAATTATTCTAAGGAATTGTTGTCGTTTGCAGTATATTAAGATGTAGCGAATCGTAGTACTACTACCAACGAGCAATTCGCTAATATAAGATATCTCGAACCTCTTAAAAATAATTGTCGGCGTCACTCAACAAAGCATTATTAGAAAATATAATTAACATTATAAATATTACAATTATTTACTAAAATTAATAAAATATAAATATATAATATAATTGATAAAAATTATTCAAAATTTTTTTAATATATATTAGATTAAGCGTAAATTTTACAGAAAACAAAGAAGAGAACTTTCAATTCATTTTAAGGTTTTGCAATAGTGAAATATTGTTGAAAAAATTAATTGTACATATTTTTATATAATTTCGTATAATTTATTCCAGAACAAATTTTTGAAGTAATATAATATTTAGAAATAATTTGATTTCTAAATAAGTTGTTTGCTTCAGTATAAATAATTATAAATATTTTTAAAAATTGCTTATTTAATTTGTTACTACAGATTATTGTTAATAATTTTACCTTTTTAATTAACATGTTTATCCCATATGTCATAGTCATAGTATTGTGTAGTATAGAAATAATGACCCAGTAAATACTGAGAAATTTGGCGTCGATGAAATTAAATAGTTTTTTTTCAAGCGGCACTAACCCAAATATTTTGAAAAACATAATATGAGGTGATGATATTTCTTCATAGGTCCATACTTTTTCCTTTTTTTGCGACATTGTTTCTCAATTAATATTATTTCTTAACTTATTGTTATAAAAATTTTATATTCTGTAAAATAAAAGTATATTCTAATGCAAGAAATTCTTTATCGATAATTTATTGATTGATGCATATAATTTCTATTTTGCTTTATTTTTCATTCCTGAGTAATACAATTAAAAAAAATTTTAAAAACGCTGAAATATTATACATATTATATAATATTTAATTTATTAAATATTATATTTATTATATAATATTTACATTTATTTTTATAGTTTCTATAACATTTCTTTGTTAAACAAGTTGGACTTGTTCGCACATTAAACTGAATTTAAACTAAAAATACTTTTCTGAAATTTTTATTATTTAAAAAAGCCTTTTTTATTATCTACAAAGACGTTTTTTTCATTCTTAATTAATATCTTTTTGGTCCTAGTTATATAAAGTGACTTAACCACTTCAAAAGAAATTTCATGGTGTATAGTTTAGCATATTTTAAATATTAACGGATTTACATATTTATGTATCATAATTTTATTCATTCTTAAACAGTTTTGACATCAAATTATGATACAAACTTCTATCTATATACTTTATATTAAACGTACTATTAACAAATATATTGATATTCAAAAATTTTCATATCTTATTTTCAATTACAATATTATCGTACTAATTCATATTTAAATTAGATTGATAAAGAAATGTATTGCTTATAACAACTATAAGGATTTTGATGTGATTCAGCAGCTTATATGAAAAGCAGTTGTGAGTAATACGAAAGCTTTAAAAGTCGATTTCCTGTAACTTGAAAACTACGCTAAATTGTGTATCCAAAGAGGGTGCATATGTTATATTGTCATTTTGCTTGTACATAGAAATATTTGATATATCACCTGGTTTATATTAAATATAAATGCTTGAAGCAAGAACCACGTCGAAGTAAAACAATACGCTATATTATCGCACAAAGTTTTATGAATTTTCAAAAAGGCAAAACTTTCTTTATCCGCATCTAGAAAACAAGAAATAAATATTACCGAATTATGCAAGTTATAACATTTCCTTTGTTTCCTCTTTCACAATTGTTAAATTTATTATGACTATAGAGATTTCGCAATAACACTTTTTGCACCTAACTTTCCTATCTCTTTAATTTTGTATAAGCTAATGGGTGACGTACTTTTCCTTGTCTATATTGTGTATTGTGGTTTCATTATCTAAGCAACACTCAGTTCTTTCACCGAATTCATATGGGTTGTATGAAATAATAAATTTTTTTTATTCTGATATAATATTCAATTTTACAAATATTTTAATATTTGTTGTTTGATATATAATTGATAATATAATTAGAGACTTATAGAAAAACATAGCATTTCATTTAAATATGAGAATTCATTTCATTTAAGCAGTTCATACACTCTTTTATAATACAAATTGTAAAAGTAATCTATCATAATACTAAACGTAAAAGAAAATTTATATTTACTAAAATAATTTTAATTCATATAAAAATAATTAATTGTTGTTTTAATTTTATGTATATCATAGTAATATACTGTTTATACAAATAAAAATATTCCACACATGTGCCCGGGCACACACTTACATTATATATTCATTCATTATATATAATATATGTATAGAATACAATAATAAAAAATTGTATAAGAAATAGACTATTAATATTTCTAAATTCTTTACTGGATTTATATCATTATTATTGTAATAAATATTTTCAATGTATATGTTTTGACAGGTTTCTGAAATGTTTTTATAGATTATAGATTTATACAAGAAAAATATCCATCAACGAATATTTTTTTAAATAGCTATTGAATGTACGTCTGTAATGAAAAAGCTTTCGACAATAATTCAAGATAAGTAATACACAATAATTCCTTTATTACGAATATAAGTAATTTTTAAATAGAAAAGAAACAAAATTCTATTACACATAGTATTCAGTTTATATTTAGTTTCTGATAAAATCTCTTCAATTGTAATATAATTTCCACGATTTTTTATTTCTTATGAATCTTTATATTTTGGGAAGTTGCAGATAAAAACCAACACTTTTTCAACATTCATATTTGGGGTTCTATATTCTTATTATTTAATAATCTTTTAGCATTATTTATTGTCTGTTTCAATATTATTCATTCATTTTCTAGGTGTATTTTAACATAGTACTAATTTTAAATTAGTTTAATATTTTTGAAAATAATTTAGGCGTTTCATATTAAATATGAAAATTTAATTTGTATTTTATTCCACTTATAAATCAATAAAATAAAAGTTTGACACAGCTTATGAATTTTATAATTTTAATTTTTAATTACATCTAATAATGATTAATAAAAATTTAATTTATATTATACCTATAATATAGTAGATACTCATTACAAAATAATAGTAAATTTGACGAATGAATGAAATTAAATTGACTTTAACATAACTCAGGAAATCCAAGAAAAATCGAATTTAATTGTAAATGTAATCTACTGATTTTATAATACAATTAATCAATATTTAAAATGTAAATAATATAAAAAATGTTATTTAAGGCAAAAAAGGTATCATTTTTAATTTCAAGACATTTAATTTGATCAGAGCAATGTTAAAAAATATATAATCTTGGACAGTACTATTTCCCTCACAGAATTCGTATGAAATTCAGACAAATTCGTAAACAGTACAAAATCAATAGATTGACTAAAAGTATTTGTATTTATGATTTTGAGTATCATTTGTGAAGAATTTAAGAAACTATATTGACTTATTTTATTACTTCATCTGGTGTTAGTTAAAAATTATTGAACATCTTCCATTCGATAAATTAGGAAACTGTCTGCGTGTAAAATGTGCATTATTTTATAGCCTCGTTACTTTTATCTATAACTATTACAAATATATTTAAAATAAATCACAATAAAAGCAGTTTTTATCGAATTTTCCACTATATTTTATCAATCATTGGTTACTGTATATGAAGGCTGTAGTTTAATAAATAACAGCACTTGAAGATGTAAATCGCTCTTTTAATGTTGTAAATTTATATTTTTGTCCTATTAAAGAACTTTTATTTGGATATATACTAGAGTACTGGGCAATTATTTATAAATTTATGTTTATAAGAATCATCTTTACATCGTTATGCCCGACTATATAATAAAATTAGAACTATCATTATTATTAGTATAATTATAGTTCAGATTGTAAATTTTAACTACTACTAAATTAATGTTACCAATTGCGCAAATGTTTAAACAAAGATAAAAATAAATTGGTATAATAATTGAAGACCCTTTCATGAAATGATTAAGTTTATTATTTTACATTAGTGTTTTAACTACATTTTACATTTCGCTCTTTAATATTCGATTAGTTAATTTATGTTTTGCACTAATCTATAGTTTTATCTAATATAAAATTCAAATGAGAACAAAAGCGGATAATACCGACCTCGCGAATATAATCTTCACGAAACTTTTATTATAAAAAAAATTTTCTAAAGAAAATCATAGTATTATTAAATTAGATAGAATTATGAAGATTTTAATAATGTATTTGACAATATTCTATTAGAATGAATAAAATATACTTTATTATATATTTTACGTAAAATCTTATACTTTTATATTTTCTCAACTTTTCTAGTCGAATTTCATTTTCTAATATATAAGAATATTATAATTCCAGGCAAGAAAATACAGCGCATACATGTATAATTACTGCTATATAAATACATTAATGGTATTGAATTTCATCAATTATTCCGAAAATAATTACCGTGTGTGAGTGAAATTAAAAAGCTCTATCAATTTTGGCATATTCATTTTATTCTATTTTCATGAGTAATAAGCTTTTCGTATTTATTGGGAAAATACATATCTACACCTGCAAATGATATTCATACAGAAAATTCTTTTTATTATTAATTTTAAATTTTAGTTCCTTGTTCAAATTTTATTAAGCCGCTCTGTTGATTATAAAAAGTTATAAAGCCGTTTATAAGTTCCCTATAAAATTCGCTTACTTATCAAAAGAACAATTATTGTAGAAGAAGATAGATAGCACTGAAATCTTTGACAGTCTTTTGTTTTGACATGAACCGCGTATTTTGTTCTATGAACCGCGAATATCATTTATTATTGTAAAAAAATTAAATTTATTATTGTAAAAGTAACTGTACATATTTTTAATTGTCCAATAAATTTGTTTAGTCATTTTTCAGTCTTATTGAAAAAAATATTAACAAAGCAGTGTAATATATATAATATATCAATGATCACTTTTAATATATATATTTCTTTCTATTGTATTAGTCTCATTTATATTTATTACGTTTATATATATATATATATATATATATATATATATTAATGAGTTGTAATTATATTTCTTTCACATAAAGTGCGACATACGTACGATTTTAAAGGTAAACATAAAAATAATACGCCCAATTACATTATAGTCACGTTAATATCCATGGATTTAAAACGCCGTATAACATTCTACAATACTGAAATACATATATAAAAATTGTTATAAATCGATTCTTTCTTCTCATTTTCTAGATTCTACTATAGATTTGAGAATTTTATACTGAAATTCTACGCACGCTATCGTTACATTTATATAAGATTTATATAACATGTATTCAATACTTATTTTTTGATACTTCACTTAAGTTATACATTCTTTACTTTTTTAATTTTGTTTCTATCTTTTTAAAAAAATGTTATCTTTTAATTATGAAAATTCTTAATCTCCGCATATCCACGGTATGCAGCGATTGCTTATACATAATTTGTTATATAAAATTACGTTGCGTTCATATTCTTGATTCTATTTGTGATCAATTTAAATTTCAATTCAATTTTTCTAAATGATCATACATTAATAATGATTAATAATAATAATAATATCATTATCTTCATCATTTTTATAATAATCATTCGAATGATCGAAAGCAAATTATTTTACACAAATATATATGATAATCAAAATACCATATTACTATAAAGACTTTCATTTCAAATTAATTTAGTAGTTATATCGAGGCAATTATATTTTAATATTCAGAAGAATACTGCATTATTAAATGAATAAATAATTAATTAATACACTTAATTTTTTTGCTATTTTTGTGCTTGACAAACTGGTAATTCGTTTAAACTTTATCTTTATTTATTACATAACAAACTTTTACAGATAAATAAATTTAAGATCAGTATCAAATAACCAAATTATATTGATTATATTATTATCAACTTCAATCGACACATTACTCTTTTTACGAATTAAAAAATGTATTTATTTTATGTAGGGTATTTATGCATTTTAAATCAGCGTTCGTCAATTGCTTTGCTAATTAATTGATATTAATTGCACTCTATAGATCAGTGGCTAAATATCGAACATTAATAATTTTACTAATGTCCACAAATTCTGATGATTCCTAATCATGAAGATCATACGAATGAGATGAATTTATTTTATATCACACAGCGCTCGAGAATTTTGCAATCGACAAGTTCACGCACACAGTACTTTGTGATGAAAAGTTCCATTATGGAAATTTTCATTAACACATAATTTTAGCACGAATAGGCACAATAATTTCGTAGTTCGTATTTTAACACTTGAGAGTCTGCTTCGCAGCTTGTTCATAAAGATTTATTCAAGCCATTGTAGCTATTCGCTAATCTCTACGTCTTCAAGTCGATATCTCACCGACTTATTCTTACATTGTCTCATTGAACTTTGTGTAGTTTTTTGTATTCGCTACGAATATCTCCCCGCTTGTTGAAGCTGGGGACGGCATTCGTGCTAGACCCAGTACTGATTTCTCCTTAGAAGAGGATTTGACGTCATTCTTTGCTGAGATGTCTGAGAGGGACAAGATATATCCGTTGTTTCGAAGCTGCTCAATTCATCAACGTCCGCTACTCCATATGGATATCTCGCTGATATATCTACCTCCGATTCAGCAATATTTTCCATGGCATTCAAAGGGATTATCTAAAAATTGAAATATTTTTATTTAATTCTTTTACTACAATTGACCATTCAAAGCCTACTTCCAATCATTTTTCATCAGATATGTAATACATATATCATAATATCTATTTTATTGTAAAACGTTTCTTTACCTTGCATTGCGGTAATGTCGAGGTTAGCGAAGGCATCATTGGAGGTAATGGTGTGCTCGAACTTAAAATATTATTATGATGTTCGTTGGTGTATCTTTTAAGATGCGGCGTTGCAGGCAGCAGATGATCGGGTGGTCTTGGAAGAGGCATCACCGAAGGTGACGAAGGCTCAATCTTGTTTTGATCGTCTTCCTCGTCTTCTTCTTCGGCATTCTTGTATCTAGATTGTCGGCATCTGATCGTCACAATCACGCAAATGCCTAGAAAAAGAACTCCTAGGAGCATGCCCAAAAGTACTGTATAGTCGTTACTCATATTAGGAGCGATGGTCATTTCTCCCTCGTGGCCTACTGGATCCATTGGTCCGTCTAGTGAGTTATTGTAATAGTCGCTAACAAGTTTTACGCGAAATTCAAAGACACCCATAGCCGGCTGAAATCGAGGCGCACTTTGAGGAACCGCTAAAATAAATTCAAAATTATCGATTACGCCTTGAATATCATCCGTGGGTACTTTCTTACACACTAGATATATTAATCCCGACAGTATTTGCGAGTGAGAGAATTTTGTGATCTCCTTCTCTTGCAAGCCTCTCTTTTCACCGGAAGACATAGTTCTGTTAATAATACGCATGACCTTAGCATATTTTGGTTTTCTAGTTATTTTGTAAGCAGGATCACTTTTTGCCAACTTGGCCAGAGGCATCGCATCAAAATACATTATGGAAAGCTTCGATCTATCACCAGCGTAGACTTCTAAATTTTGATTAATTATCATTAATGGCACTACCCGAATGGGGACACGTACATTACGAAACTCAAAGTTACTAACACGAGCTAATAGCTCAAAACTATCATTACTAACTGTCATATCTTGCTGTACGTAAACAACACTTTTTGAAAGTAAATCTGTGTGTTTAAAATTTAACATCTGTTCTCGAGCATGCAAACTTCCATACGTCGGTGGTTTTGTCACCTCATAACTAACCAAATCCCGTCGTACATTCGTGTCTAGTCTTAAGCTCTCCGTATCAATCGTTGTCGATGTTAGGCCTTGCTGAATATCAATTGGTTTAAGAATACTAATACTAAGTTTAATAGGATGTACATTAATATTAAAGATCTTATAGATGGGATTGAAACGACCATCAGATACACGAAAGTAAAAGGTTGATAATAATAAAGGTCCTTTGTGCTCATAAACCAATCGCGAAGAATCAATATCTTGCTGTGTAAATTTTTGAGCCTGGTGAATATCTGTATTAGAATTTTGATCCATAGATAAGAGAAGAAGTCTTCCGTAAGTCGGTGCATTTATTATTTCGTAAATGATATCGTTTGGATCGGTGTCTGGATCAGTTGTTAGAAGATTATCTCTGGTTATTGTCTGCGTCTGATTTTGCACAACATCAATGGCATTGACTATTTCTAATTTGAACGGCTCGTCATTTATGGGTGTTATATCGACTGGAATCGAAATATTACAGAGAATCACATGTCCAAGTGAAAAAAATATGGTAAAGTCTATTTGATCTTTCTTTGTGTCAGAGTGGTCATGGAAGTATGCTAGTTTGCCGCTTTCGATTTCATTTCGTGAGTAAGCCGTTAAATTTAAATCCGGCAGAAGCATTACATGACCATAATGTGGTTGCTTAATTAGTTTTAATGATACTTCTGGATTAGGAATGGAAACTTTTGTACGTAGAAAATTAACTATTCCACTAATATTCATTGAAAATGGTGCTGAACCACCTTCGTCGACTCTAACTGGAACTGTGGTTACGTAACGATGTAAGCCACCACTGGAGACAGATATATCTATTTTAAAAACCTAAATGGTTAAAAAATTGTGTTTATTAACTGATTGCAATTTAATTTATATGATTTAATCGTATATGTTTATAAAATAGATGAAACTTTTATTTCAATATTAATTTTAAAAAATTATTGAGCAATAAAAAAAGTGAATGAAAAATTAAACAAATTAAGAAAAAATTAAAGTTGACATACTATACCTGATTTTTTATTGGAACTGTAAAATGTGTTTCAATATCAAAGATGAAATTGTCATTTGCCGTTAGGTTATTGAATTGTTTATTATGCTCATAAGACACTTTACTATTATTAAGATCTTTCTGTGTAAATCGATCAACTTCGAGCCAAATCCCTTCACTCGTTTCCATTATAATTTTTCCCATAGTCGGTCCATTCCGTATAAAGTATTTAACGTCCCGATCGGCGTCACTGCATTTAGAAAGCAGTAATTCACCACTAATGATTTTTCTCGTTAATGGAAAAACATTTAAAGCGTAATTGCGTTTAATCATAATTTTCACAGGTTTTGTATTAAAGGAAACATGATGTGCTCCCGTAGTGTGCAAACCATCGTTTACTGTAAAATTGAATTCCGCCTCAGTTCCATCTGTCGACACCAAATACATGTTAAATTAAAAAAAAAATTATATTTTTCATTATTCAATTTAGGAAAAGAATTTATTTTATTTATCTTTAAGCTATTTCTTTTTAAATATTTAGGTTGCATTTATAAAAATTTGATTCATTTAATATGTACGTTTTGTTAATATTCATTATTATTTTTAAATAAAATATTAAAGAAATAGCTAATTTTTTTAAATCCCTAAATTGTCCTTACTTGTGTGTGTGAACATTATTTTAAATGCATTGATCATCTCTTGGGTAAAATTAGAAATTGCCATCCTTGGTGTACCAGATAAAGAAAAATATCCATTAATTACATTATTAATATTATAAACCAGGTCAGTTGCTAATGTATCGTTATCCATAGTTCCTAATTGCTGATTCGTAACAATTATTGAACCACCTTGCCAAATACGAAATTTCGTCATATTTAAGACAACTGGTATTTCATCATTAATAGGTAAAATGTTGATCCATACATAGAAAGGTTCGCTAATTTTTTCTCCAGCTATAGCAAGCATTCTGAAAGAGTCAGTAGGCAATTCATCCCCATTATTTTTGTAAATAATTTCTTTAGCGCCTAATTGCGTTTGAGAAAATTTTCTCGTAGGGTTATTTTTCATATCTATTATATTTCCATGCTCGGGCTTTTCGATCAGTCTGTAATCTGTGATCCTGCCAGCAAAATAGGGCGTTACTGTATAAAAATCCGAATCACGTAAAATCATACTTTTACCTTCAAGTACTGTTAAATTTTTGGCGCTAACATACATTTTATTGGGAATTATTACAATATTCACAGTTAAATTGCGAAGCCATGTAATACCATTTGTTACATCAACCACAAATTGATCATGAGTTTTATTTGGCGTTGTTTGTACGTAATATACACGCCCTTCTATTACCAGATTTTGTTCAAAATGCTTAACTAAATGTGTACCGAATTCGTCTTCCTCTTCATCTATGTTATCTTCATGTGACTGTACCTCCAAATATCCGTTTTTCGGCCATTCTTTCAGATGATAAGTTATTCTACTAGCAGGAATATCCGCATGACTAATCTCCAAACTCTTACGATTGATAATGACACTGGTAGCCTCTTCTACATAAACTGTATTATTATTTTGTACTGTTAATGGCTCCCAATAACTTTCTGGAAATACTTGGATTGGAAAAATGCCTGAATCTTCAGTTCCTCGCACTTTCACTTTCACTTTTAATTGTTCTTTCTTTAAAGTTATTCCAAAATGTTTATATATAATTGTTCTGCGCATTATATCATCTGCATTAAAAGTTGATGTTTCCTTATTGTATTTCAATAAAAATCCATACTTAGGTTTCTCTAAAATATTAAAATCAATTTCAGTAGAATTGAGGTACAAATTTGTTTCTATATCAATATCTTCCGAACTCAAAAAGATGGAACGATTGGTTTGAACAACGGCTCCATCTTGAAGTAATAATTTTACATAAGCTTGGCCAGCTTGTATTTCGAGCTCGCCGTTTGTAAATAATTCACCGTCGCTCACTGTAAAGTCAATTCTCTCGTATTTACCACCTCTATGTCTGTATACAATTTTATAAGAATCGATGTCTTGTTGCGTAAATCGTTTGATTTGATATTGTGGCTCGTTCAGCATAAATAGTTCGCCATTGCTTATCTGCTTTATCGTATAAACTAAATCACTACTCTTTGTATTTAAATCTTTATCTGTGTAAAGTAGATCAGCTTTGGTAATCAACTTTTCCGATCTCGAGACTACTTGCAATATTTTACGATTAGCTCGTGTAGGTCGATTATCATTGTTTAAATTAATTTCTACGTAAAACTTCCCAATGTACATGAAATCTACGTCGTCGGAAGATATAGCTAAGAACTCAAAGGAATCGTTTGTTGTTTCCGTATCATCGTGAGCATATAAAACAGATTGAGTTGTAAGTTCATCTGATGTAAAGTAGGTAGTTTTAATTCTAATTGGTAAAGTATCATTGTATATCATAATTGAACCATGTCGTGGTTTTTCCGTTATATTGAATGTTAATGATGTTACGCCAAAATCTCGATAGTTCGTCCGTGATATTTGTAAAGGAACTTGATGTCCTTCAATTACGTGAATGTTTCCTACAATGTCGGACAGGATAGAACTTTTTGATGGTAAATAATGAAAACTTAGCGATGCAGTTCTATCAGTGCATTGAGGAACAATAACTTTAAATACAATTGAATCATCAATGTTAGAAAAAGCATGCCTGAAATGTCTGTAACGAAGTTTGTTCCTGTCAATATCTTGTTGAGAGAAAGTTTGACCTTTTCTTAGTCTTTCATAATCTAAATAAATGTAACCGAATCTTGGTTCTTCTATCAGACTGTAAATAATCATATTAGTATCGGTAATAAGTGGATTAGTCTGAAACTTGAGTTTTCGTGACTCAATAACAACTTCGACACTGTTTGTGAAATTGATACTATTTCGATGGATTTCGATAAGCTCGAGATTAATGAAACTGATATTAAAGTCATAAGTGGTAGCAAAATAAACTTCACGAACACTGGTCTGAAATTTGAAGCCATCTTGGCGCGGGCTACCTACGTTGTGAAGATACCTGTGGAGAATGAAAATATAAAATAGTAATTAGAAAATTTATTTATTTCGTAAAATATTTTCACAAGATTCTACTGGAGAATTTCATTGGTAAGAGATTATAATAAAATAAATATAAATAAATCACTCGATAGAAATTATATTTTATATTAAATTATATTCTGATGGTACATATCATTCGCTTGTATTGTTTAAATCAAAATTCAATTTTGTTTCAAAAAACCAAGTCGTCGTTAAAATAAATGCCAAAATATCATGCTAGAACAAAAAACTATTACCTGTTTATTATTGTATAACTTAATTATTTAATGATTAAATAGTTAAAAAAAATCCGAAATGAGATCGTACCTAATAGTCTGTTGATCAAGGTCACGACTAGTAAAATAATCAGTATTGATCCACAGCTGATTAGAGTCGCGTTGTCTTTGCAAAATCCCATATTGCGGCGGTTTGACAATGTTATATCGAATTTCTAATCGAGGATCCTCAGCATTGGTCGTTGAAGAAAGATTAGTGGATGATAGATAGGCAAACGAGCGGTGAACCACAACCAATCCAGTGTTATATTTCGGCTTAATAATCAACGGATAAGTGCTGATACGCAAATACTGAGGCGGACTGTTATTTTCACCATCGCTAAGTTTCAATCCAAGAATTGCTTTGGTTTTGTCTGAAAATAGTAATTCATATTATAGTTTAATTAAAATATCATTTATGAAAATGATTAGGAATTGTAGTAAAATAATATACTGACTGGTAGATATCCGATATAATTCTAAATAATATAATTAATACATTATGAAATTGTAAAAATTATTCGCTATTTGTCATAAGTAATATATAATTTCGCTATATTATGGAATAATTTGTTCATACATGAGTAATTTCAAGATTAACAATTAAATGTTTCGTATACGTATAACGTTCGTATAACGTTTATTGAACATGTAAATGTGAATTGCTAATTTTTAAATTTTATAATTTTCTATTCCAATATTATATACGTGGTCGTTTATAGATAGAAAAAAACTAGAGAATGTACTAACATTTGGAAAGATTTTTTAAAAATTGTAAAATCATTCTGGATTTAATTAATTGGTATTACACATACATCTGTAATATTATTTTTAAAATTCTTTTAATAAATTATTTGAAAGATTCTCTCTAATTACAAATATTTAAAGCTAATACCAACTTAAGATTGAGCGTATCTTATCAACTTATTAATCCTATTTTGCTGCATTATTAAACTACGTCATAAATAATCCTAAATTTTTATATGATCCTTACACCATTCCCTTCAAATTTATAAGCGCGTTTTTACTTCGAATACGTAGGAAATAGAAAAATCTCTGCACATTTTACTTTTGCCAGTGTGTACGTAATCGATCGTCCCCCGTCCAAGCTCTGCCTGTGTGAAGGTGTGAACGATCTGACTTCCGTAGCCAGTGGCACCGATCCTCTCAATATGGCCAATATCACTGTCGTTGGGCAGGACTGTATATACGAGTGAGTCCACGGGTGTGTCAGCATCAGTTGCCCACACTAAATCCTTGGTCAATGTTTTTCGCGTTCCCTACAACAGACATAGACATAAGTTTTTGTTCCACTTCTAATTTATGAACGAATGCTACATATTATCGACAACGTCCAAATTTAGGATTTTTCAACAATGTGCTTATAAATTGGGTAAAAGAATGCTATAATTTCAAGCAATTTTCATTCCATCCAATTAATGCAACGACTTATAATCTTTACATTCACGCATTAGACTGAAAATTATGGTAACAATAATTTTATTCTATTTATTTTCTTATTCGATTTGAAATAGTAAAAAATACTATTATGTCTAAAAAATTTTCACCATTTTATCTACTGAACATTCATTCAATTAAAATTAATTTCGACAGCTTTGTTGTTACAAATTTCATGATAAATTTTTCGAATTAATAAATTATATATTACAAACAATTAAACTAATAGTTTAATACATCGTTTCGGCGTGATTTGAATATATGGAAATATTATTTTAAAAAAGTAGTTTCTTTTTTTCTATATGTATTTGTCTTAAATTAATTATAATTTTGTTTTTTATTAATTTATTAATATTATTTATATCAATAATACACTGTACTATTATATTACTCTAGTAATAAAACTTTTAGACTGTCGAGGCAGTAAGCTTTAAAGAAGCTTTTCAGTTTAATATAATTCATATATTACTTAAGCTACCGATAATATAAAATAAATAAAACGTTCATTTAAATTTTCATCATTCATTTAAGCGTATAAGTAGTTTTTATAGTTTTTAATTTTTTAATACCAAATCTCCAAATAAATATTCGAAATATTCATATGAAATTACGTTACTATAACAATTCAGTATGAATTAATCAAGTGCCTGAAGAAAACTTCTTAAAATCACAATGTTGAATAAATAAACTTACTTGAGCCAATTTCAGTATTGAATTAACTGGAATCTCCAGATGAGGTGAATCATTAACCGGAGTCACATTAACGTGCAACGTAAAACGCAGACTGTCTTGAAAATAGCTCGGAAGCGAATGTCTCGAATTGGCTTGTAGGGCTACTTTAAAGACCATACTATCTTCTATAGTCTCGCCTCCATCGTGTTGATAAAATATCTGAAATATTAATTATTATATATATTTTAAATAATCCATTTAGGAATTTTTTTAACTTTTTATATGCCATTTCCCTTTTCGGAAGTATTGTTATATCATTGGACTTTTGTAAGTATTTGTATAATATTTTTGTGTAATGTTGTGTAATATTTGTAATCTATAAACAATAGTTGAATAAATAATTTATTCTGATTTAAATTAGTAAAATTTGTATATAAAGTGCAAGATATGATTTATTTATGGTATGTAAGTGTAATAAATTTATAAATGGTTGAAAAAATTTATTTAATAAGAAATTTTGTCTATTCTTTATAAAATAAATACAATAAACGTTACTATTCATTTAATAAATTAATATAATATTCTTAATAAAGTTTTTTTAATAATAATTAGCGAAATATATATATATATATATATATATATATATATATTATCTATTTTTATTATTTTTTTTTTATATTTTTACAATTAAATTTTTTACAATAGTATAATAATGTTAAATGTAAACAAAATTATAAAATATATTTTCTTAATATCTATCGTTTATTAATTTCACAAAAATAAATCATCTTTGTTTGAACTTGAACATTTTTATCTTTGATATCGAAAATGTTTTCATCTCTTATTCTTTAATTTATTGAACGTATAAAATGATTGAAAGATGCATTAAATTTCATATCCTTATTTGCGAATCATTTGTAACAAAAACGTTAATTGTAATATTTAAATTTGATGTATTCATTACGTACTGCTTACTATTAATATTAGAATGATTTTCTCTTTTTGATTTTTGTTTTTTTTTTGTTTTTTTTTTGTTTTTTTTTTGTTTTTTTTTTTTTGAATTTTTATTTTTTTTTTTTTTTTTTTTTTTTTTGTCATATGTATTATGGATATTTACTTTCACTGAAATTTCGGTGCTAGTCATATTTAGGAAAGAAAGGCGAGCAAATCTCGATAATGTATACCGTAATGGAAATAAATAATAGAACTAAAATTTTAAGATTAATTAATGTAAGTTGTAAGATAAAATTAATCCTATCGAGCTTTTAAGAACCGAGATCGAATGAAAAAATACAGTTTTTTGTAGAATAAATCCGTTGAAAAAATAGAATTTGAAAAAATTCTTTTGAAAAAAAAATACTAGATAATTTAAAAAGTTTATTATTGAAGTAATGTTATAAGAACCTTAACAATATTTAAAAACAATTCAGAATTCTAACCTCAATACATATAAAACTAAAATTATTAAGTAGCCGATCTAAATAAGTAAAATAGAAAGAAAATTTATGGATATGAAAATACCGTATGGTAAATTCTTGTGTAAGGAAATAAAAAGAACATTGCATAAATTAGAACAAGAACAAAGAGATAGCCTTGAAGATAATCTGAATCTACGCCTATATAGTCGCGAATAATTTCTCGTTTCAAGAGCTAGAGAGAAAAAAGAACGGGTAATGAGCGGTAAAGTAGTCAACATTTACTTATAAATAGAAGTAGTTTCTTGTGCATTAGGAGCGCGGGAGGCGTACTTCTAAAGTTAGAAATATCATCTTCCTTTCGTCTTGCAATATACGTTACATCTGTATTGCAAGTGACATCGTGTATTTTTGGAGGCGGAGGAGGCGTCCCGCTGGTTTCAGAACAAGTTTTTAGAAAATGGTAAATCTTTTTGGCAGCTGACTTTTGGGACTAATGCAGAAAGTAAACGTGTACTATTCCAAGAAAATAAATCCTAGTTTTAGATAAACAAGTAAGGAAATGATAATTAATTCGGTCAATAAGTTTTTTTTTTAAATATTGCTATAACCAAAGTAGATTTATGTAAACTAAGATAACTTAGTTGCACTCATCGATAACGTTGGACAACTTAAAGAAAATTATTTATAATTTATAATTACAATATATAATTAGTATCGAGATGTTTAGATATAGTAATGTTAATAGTGGGATAAGTAAATAATCCTAAAATAGGTTCTTGTTATCGAAATCGATGCGTCATTAGAAGCATATTATTATTAATTTACTATATTTTATTTAAGATCACAATAAATGTAGTTTTTTAATTTAAATAAAATTAATAAGCTCAGAAAATTTTAATCTTTATCAATATAATTTGTTACACAATAATCATACTTTATAATTTCTTAAAAATTTGAAATATTTGTTTGAAATTTAATAAAACTAGAATAAAATTTTACTTTCATAAGTATAATTCACATTCATAATTAATATTATATGTTGGAAAATAAGAAACATAAATTTTCGATAAGAAAAGTTGAACATTTATCGTGAAATATCTTGAATATACAAAATTGACAAGTGATGAATGGAACATGTACCGACAATTTATCATCCGATACACATTGACGATCAAGACGTTACTTCTTGCATCGCGTTGAAAAAGTGGCCAAAGGAGAAAAACAAAATTAGTTAATTTATGTTGGATAATACAAAATCGTGTCTAAAGTTTTTTCTATAATATATTACAAATTTATCAATTATGCCATTATGTAATTTATGAATTGCATGTAATGTAAATTATAACTGAAATGTGATTATATTATTGAAGAATAAAGCAATAGAACTTTTTCTATTATTTAAAACATATTCTTCTTAATTATCATTACATAATTTATATTAACATAATCATAAAAAACAGAATTTTTTTATAATAAAAGAAAATCTATTTTTAAAAGTACATTTTACGATAATTTTACTAAGTAAAAATATTTTAATATTTTAAGCAATATTCTACCGAGATATCATGTAAATCAGTTACAAATAAAATTTTGAATATAAATGAAAATATTTGTATACACACTAAACACGTAAACAGTAATCTTATTGTTCATTCTTATAGATAATAAGTTTATGATTTTACTATACAGAATGCTTTAAACGTACATGAAAAATTTGATGTAAATACTATTATTCTAAATAATACATTATATCATAAATTTTTTATGTAAATCATTTAAATCTATATGTTGTTCGGGTGCAAAATATGCTTTGTAGAATCTGAAATATTTTGTACTGTCATCTGTAGTTAATTTTGCATAAAAACAAGTTTTATGTTTACGTTTATATTTATTTAATATCTTATAATTTATTCAAATCTTACTAACTATAAGCTATAGCAGCTTATAAGAATTTATTCGAATGAAATAAATTACTAAATTTTTTTAATATTTTTCAAGGTAATTCTAAAGTCATTGCGTTTCCTATATTTTTTATTTTGGATAACAATTAGAATTTGAAAACTTTTTAATTAAGAAAATATTTTTAATTAATCTTTTATTTTAAATAAATATTTTAGATACAACAAAAAGTATATATTTAGAATTAGTAGCACGATGTAAATATAAATGATGTTTAGAACATTCGCGGATAATTATATATTTATTTTGTAATGAGTAAAATATCTATTTATAAATATATATTAATATCCTGTAAAATGTGATCCTACGTTTTATTTTATACTATACACCGAATAAATTGATTAATTAATTTAATTATATTAAATTAACTTTTTTAAGTTAGCATATAATTTTTTTAAACGCTATTTGTTAATTATTTGTAGTTTATTATTATTAATATTTTTTTTAAATATTGCTACAAGCTTTTATAAAATTCGTCCTAATAATTCATTACATATTTTTTTACATATTTGACTCGACATATACAAATTTGTTTATGTTGTATCGTTAGGCTTCAGAGTCACTTAATAATCTCAAGGTTTTTAGTCACATTAAAGGTAAAGATATATCTTACTTAATCATCTGGAAATAGATTGATTCGAATAAATTTAAAATCAAATAAATCAATTTCTCTTATTTTCTAGAAATTAGTGAAAGGAGCTTGTAAATTTTGGCTTCTAACCTTTTGTTGATTTAGGTCGTAAAGGCTGAAGGGCATTTTGACAGCAAGCAATGATCTGTCCAAATGCAAAGAGCCGTAAGCAGGTGGTGTCAATAACACGAACACAAAAAAAGATTCATTCAAACCAAATTTGGCAATATCCAATGTCACAGCAATATTATGTTCATTAATAGTTACTCGTCTACCCTCCGCTACACTCACTGGTTTAACCGATAGCATCTCCAAGCTCACTGGCAAATTTGTGTTATACTGAAACGACAAAAAAAGAGATCATAAGGTAATTCAAATTTAGTTAGTCGGTTTAAAACAATAAGGTAATTTGAGCTTTCTTTAATTAATGAATAAAATTGTTTTATTTAAAAAATACATTATGTTATGTATTATATATTATATTAATAATCGCCGATTTCTTAAAATTAATTTGATAGTAAACAAGATCATAATAATAAAACATTTTAAATATTTATTTCGAATTTATTATTGATTTTATTTTATTAATAATGATATCTAAATTAGATTATTTAGATAATTAAAATACAATTAAAATATTAAATAATTCTTAAATGAATGGTTAAAGTTTTTATTAATTCTTATAGTAGTTATAATAATAGAATAATTGTATACATAATAGAACTTATAATAGTTCAAAAACTTCATTTTGTTAATAAATTAGCGATAATTTTTAAGTGTCTGTATTAAAACGTATAATTCTAATAATAAGCATAAAAATACTTTTTCCATTACAAGATTACATATTTTTCTTTATATGTAACTGCATATAATTTATAAAAATATTTGCTTGTTAGATAGTTCAATTAATAACAATAGTAAATTATTAACAATATACATAAATCAAGCAATACTAATAAAATTGGTACAATAAAATTTCTATAAAAAAAACTACAATATTAGAAGTTACGAAAATGGGAAACGTATCTTAGCGTTTTTAATATCTTACCTTGTATTCATCTGTGAAATTCGATTTGATGCAAAGACTTTGATCGCAAGTACACTTGAAGGATCTAACACCCAGCTGAGAACACATTGCTCCAGGTACGCAAGGTTCGGCTTCGGCACACGGAAAACCCCAGATGCAATTAACTACCAGACCCTGGCTCACCTTCACATGCGGCAATCCAAGTTCTTTACCATCCAGCATCATGTTCCTTAGGCATCCCTTATAACTAACGTCACCAGACTTGATACCTTTGGCAAGCGCTTTGGCGCGTTTATTAAGTTCGGTGCCACCGATATAAAGTGTATCAGCTAAGTCGAGGTATCGGTTGCCCGTTGGTAATGACATGTTAGACGACTGCCCATCGATAATAATATCCACGAAATTTGGATTAAAGTCTAATTGAATCTGATGCCAAACTCCATCAGAAATTGGTCGATTATGTAGTAATTCAGTTGGACCATTACCCTTGTTCATCAGAAGGCGAATTTTGCCATCGATGACTTCGATACCCAGAAAGTCTGCGTGCGATGATTGGCCGGCATTAAACAATAGGAGTCCATTTGTCGCTGCAGTTTTCATTTCCAATTCCCATCTACATAATTTGATTATTAACTATCAACATAACCATAAAAATTTTTTTTTTCGTTAAAAAATATGAGCAATGATTCTCATTTATTAAGTAATATTATTAACGTCTTTCTACAAAGTCGTAGTTTTATCCGTGAATAAAACAAGAGACTAAATTATTGCTATTAATCAATAAAATAATTTATTTTTGTATAATAATTTTATATACATATATTAAATATATTTCCATTAACCTATATATATAACCTGTAGAATGATATATATTTTAATATGGAAAACTTCAAGTATTTATTTTGAGGCTTCAATCGTATCAATATTCTCATAAACTTCTGAATAAATTACAATAATGCTTCTATTATCACATTTTATTAAAAAATATTCATGTATATAATCAAGAAATATAATCTACTTAATTATTTATTAAATGATATAAGATATAAATAAAATATAAATTGATTTGAATTTTTCTTCAGAGATTCTTATGGTATATATAACGTTACTGACTAATTATTATAATGTTCTATCATTATAAAATATCTGTCATCATAATTATTACAAAATTAGTAATTATAATAATTTGTTAGTATAAGGAGTGTACGTGCACACAATGGGCATATAAATATGTAAGAATCACAAGTACGTGTATATATTTGTGTATGAATAAAGCTAAACAATGACTTTCTACATTATTTAAAAAGAAATGGTATTAGTTTTTAGAATATTTGACTAAATTTGCTCATTTAAATTACATATTTTAACTTTTATTTGAAAATTAATTGCATAATTTCAAATTTCATTTATATATTGATTTATATACCCATTCGTTATTCTCTACGGAATAATAATTTTTCATATTCAATCACAGTTTAATTGACAATAAAAATATACAACGTGTAAAGTTTTTATGAAAATAAAATACAATATAAATTCAAAATATATCTCTGAAAATTATATACGATCGACAATTTTAAACACTAGTTAGTTTCTAATGATCTATTACTAATTAAAAAAATTAAATTCTTCCAATAATCTTATTTATAGAATTTAAAGGATATTAATTTTAATTTAAAATATAGATAGAAATTTATAAAATAGCTTTGAAGTAATTTAACATTTAGTCAAAAACATACGGATGCCAATTTAATTTATTATAACTAAATTATTATTTTGCTTTACGTATTCCAAATCATCTTAAGTTATGCATTTTATGTTTTAAAAAATTACTTATTGTAATAATTAAAGACTAAAATTTTAAAACCTATATATTATATCATATATTTATTCTTCGAAAATGTTCTAATCTATGCTTCTAATCAAATTTAACATTTAAATTTTATTGTTCAAAGAAAAAAATTTATCAACCCATATTGTCATTACTCTACGAAAAAAATCACAAAACGATGTCAAATAGTGCGCTAACTTCAAACGATATTATAACTATATAGTTACAAAATACTAAAAAATAATAGAATAATACATGTACAATAGTTTGAATTTTCATATAAGCAAATTAAAAATATTTAAATTTAAATTAGGTTTTCAGAATAAATCTTGATTATGTTTCTCAATTCGATTTCCTTTATTTTAGATTTAGATTTATTGCGCATCGATACATCACAATTTGAAAAATGATTTCACAATTTCTGATATTATCGTAGATATTTTTTTAGCTGATAATAGGATTTGGTGTGGATATTGTACGATTCTGATATTTGTGAGGAAAAAAGAAGAGAAAATACGGAAATATGAATAGAAAAACATTTGAAAATTTTTTTATATGTATCGAGTACAAAAGTATTACAAAAAAATAATGTTTGTCAAATCTTATTTTAAGCTTTGGGCAGTGGTAGTGTCACTTTAGTGATTCAGTTACAATAATGTGGCAATAGAAATATGGTATTATCTATTCTATCTTCATGAAGTTTTTTGTATCTGTCTCGTCATAATTTTATATTCATGTTTCGGAGGAATTAGAAGTTAATTTATAAAATATTTAATTAATATTTAGATAGAGCCTTATATCTATTACTTCATAATTAATATATGCCATACTGTATCACTTCATCATTAAATTGTTTGAGTAAAAATAAATTACACGATAAAATAAAAGAAACCTAAAGTTACATTTTTAATTTGATGAGAGTTCGGTAGAAGTGCACTTTATTATTGCCAGAGTTCGTGTTTCTATACGACTTACTTTTAAAAAATTCCTACTTATTGTAATTAGTAAATTAAATTGTACAAATAATCGAATTAAGATATCATTGTGAAAAGACATGGAGTTTTTATTGACTATATGATTTTTATTTGAACTGGACACGTAAAATCTAATTAGCAAATTACTCCGATTGAGCTTGTATAACTTCATCGATTGTTTATCCTCTATTAATCTTTATGTGTCTATTTTCATTTAGAATTATATTATTATAAAATTTTTTATATAAGATTTAAGATTAAGAAAAATACTAATTAATATTATATTAGTTAATTTTTTTTATATTTTTATTTTTGAGGAACAATGCAGAAACTAATAAATGTTTGCTTGCTTGCACAAATATAATAAATATTTGTAGTCCTGGTTGGGGTAAAATTATTATTAATCATATAATAAGCCGTAGAATATATTTGTAAATATATTCTTTAATATAATGTAGATAACTATTAAGTAAATAGTCAGTAAACTAGCTATATATATGTGTATATATATATATATATATATTTACAAATTAAAAATATCAATTATTAACACTATTAATTTCTATATGCCTCTATCGTTAAGAATGTACCAATTTTTTGGAAGATTTTTGATAAATTTTTCTTGATTATAAATTGAACCTTATGTTGTAATTAATACTCATTTCTAGATATTTCCATTGCTCTTTTAAAAGACAAAAATTGTCAAGCGTATTTATTAAAATTGCGAACAAAAACAACATTTTGTTTAAAATGTGTTTAATAATAGATTGTGTTGATTAAATAATCCTTTTAATAAATACAAGCTTTTGTATAATAATTTATTACAATAATATTATAAATATCTTTAGTACAATATCTAAGAATAACTTTAGTAAATCAAGTTATATAGAAGATTGTAGCTAACGTAATCGAGTGTTTATTACAATTGTTATTCTCGTGTCAGTTGCAAAACTTAAACTATAATTGATTAGGAACAACATTAAAACAATATAAAAAGTATAATAAAAGTGCTCTTTCTCTTAAATTAAAATAATGAAAAAATACATTATATAACTGTTTTATTCCAATCCTATCATTTTCGTTAAATATAAATTACTTGATTTTCTATAATTTTTTGTTACTTTTATATAATTCATATTTCTACGAAATATCAACTTGTATATGCAGTCGATAAGCCATAGTTGTAAATTTTTAAATAAAAATTTATTCGTTAAAAAAAAAATTTCATTTTAAAAATACATGTATTCGTATGATTAAAGAATAACAGATATAACACACGTTGTGTAGTTTTGGTGCATTGTCCGATTATTGAAGAAATTGTGAAGCTTATTAAATAAAATAATCTTAATAATATAGTTTCATTTCAAACAAATGAATTTTGAGATTTATGCGACTCAAGTACTATTCTTTATGGTTTATATGAATGAAATTACAATCAATAAAATATGAGAAATGTTAAATTAAAGAATTGTACTCAAGTACTTTTAAATTATAAGCATATAATTAAAAATTAAATCTAATTTGTGTAATACATTAAAATTATATCATCACTTATTTAAACAAAAAACTTTTAAATTATGATAAATTATTCTTCTGTATTGATGTACATTCTCGAAATTACGTTAGAAGTAATTGAAAGTGGATTTATTATAGTTGGAGATTTTACCAGAAAGCCGTAAAAATTTAACATACTAAAAATTTAAGAACTAAGCTTAATTAATCGTTAAATTAATTGGATGAATAAGTATATTTGTTACGAATAAGTATATACTATAGGTATAAATAAAATTTGAATTTATAAATAGCGAATTTTACGTAAATATAGATTAAATTTATTTTAATGAATTTAAAATATCATGATTTATATTCAAATTAAAATATATGACATAAATTGTGAGACATCCAACCAAGTAAACCAAATACATTGAAATAGAAAAAAATTTAATCTATTCAAATTTTCGGTATTCAATTCAAATAAAATAAGGTACTATCATGAATCTTGAAATTTTGGTTTTCAAATAAAATATTATCTTTAAACATAAAAATATTAAGTATGTTAGTTTAACTGATGATAAAGGACTGAAAATAAAATATTTTTATGTAATTTAAAATTATAATATTTAAAATAATAATATTATGTTTAATCTTTAAATATATCGAGCATATTTGTTAAGATTTTTAAAAAAAGTTTCTGCCCCAGCATAAGTATACAAATCTATAGATGAAAAGTAGACTGTTTGAATAAAATGTTCCTATTGATATATATTGTGTTAAATATAGCTTATAATATTAATAAATTTGATACATAATTATTTGATTAATTACATTATTAATTATATCATCAATTTTTCCTATAAATCTCGATGTTTATAAAGTAATTTACATTTTTCACAAATATTACATACGAAAGGCACTTAATTCTTCTTTCTTACTACATATTGTGTATTTGAATGTTTAAGTAAATATGATTAAGATATTAAATTTCAAGAATGTCGTTAGTGTGATGTACTCGAATTACTATTTAATATGTTGATACAAAATTTTATACATGCAGACTATATCACTTATGGGAGTCGTATAATCAATAAACTTCACGCGTAAAAGATGTTATTGGTTTTAGATTTTTCGATATTAAAAATTGCATAGGGTTGTGAGCCAATACAATAAATAACATTTTAGTTTTTATCTTTAAACACAGTCAATATATTATTGTGAGATTTTTACTGCATGAAGTGTCAAATATGACTATAGTTCGAAAAAGTGAAAATTGATAATAACAATACAAGTGATCAATATTGTAATTATATTTTTAGACACTTAGTGTGAGTTTTCGTAATTTAAACGTTAACAAAAAATTATAAAATAAATTATAAAAAAGTTTAATGAATAAATCATTTTAAGTTAATAAAATAATAATTAGAATTTTATTGTTTTGAACGATGAAATATTTAAAAACTTAAAAATATGAAGTATCCATTACTTCAATTTTCTGAACATTTTTGCATATGGATACAAAGTTTTTATTAGCTTTAATGAGTTTTTAATCTATTGTAAATATCTTAAAGGATTTTCCGAGAAAAAAAGAGTATAATGTGAAATAGTCATAAAATAAAGATAAATTAAAAAAATTTATATTAAATAAATTTATGTTCAAAATTTCATAAAAAATATCTTAATTAGCAAATATGTATAAATGCGTGAGTGTGCGTGCGCGCGCACGCGCGCGTATGTGGATAATATTGTTTATATATGTCAGTGAAAAATGAAACTATTATAATTTACTATAAATAAAGAATCACCAAAAAATGTATCTATTAGTTTCATTTATCTAATTAATTTCATTTAAGATTTTCATTTCATCAATTGATCAATATCTAATTAGTTTCATTTAAGATTTTCAACTACAAAAAATTTAAATTTCATGGCTTCAAGGATATAAGAAATTTTGTAACAGTGGTTATTCAAATAAAATGTGCGAACACCTATTATTCTAAATTTTAACATTCTTTCATCCAAACAATGGACAAAATTTTGTTTACAATTTCGAGTGCCATCGAGATAAGTTTGGTCGCTTAAAAACTACCTAGAACAAGGCTAAATTGAAATATAAAATAAATGAACATTACCTCGTTCCTGAGCGAGGAATAGCACGTGGTATAGCAGCAAAGGCGCCGTCCTCGACGAAGCTGATATCTGTCCTTGTGGTAGCTTCAAATTCTGCAGAACAGCTCCAGCTAACGGAGGTGGCTTCAGTAGAATTTTTACGACTGCGCGCATGTTCAATTACATATATCCCATTGTAAACAATGTCGGCCATGCAGCCGCGTAGATACTCCGTATGACCTGCGGCAAAATTCTCACTGTTATATGGATTTCAGCTAACAAGTGGAATACGCTTAAAAGTGAGAGAAAGCCCATCTAATAAGAGGATATAATATTCTATTCCTCCTCAAGTCCTTTATAATTTTTTCTTCTATATTAGTATTCAGTTATACTCATTGAGTTTTATAACACATGAGTTTGTGTAGATGAAAATAAAATTAAAAAATTTCATAATATAATATGCTAATAAAGCAATTTTTGAATTTTTAATCATATGCACGCATTGACATATAAAAAATATATCAAAATAATCTTTTAAAATATTTACAATAGGATAAATTATGATTTAAAATATTAAATCGATTTCCTTCGTAATAGATAATTATTTTTATTACCGTTTTAATATTTAAGTAAAATAAATGTTATCTTTTATATAAAAATTATACATATAACGAGTATGCATACGATATTACACAATGGATATATGACAATCAAAGTTTCGTAAAAATCTCTAATAAAAAAAATTCGATATGAGCCATTTCTAGATGATGAAATTTTTCAAACTGATATTGGCAGACGCAGAGGACATTGACAACTTAATAGAACCGGCGTTAAGATTAATCTAAGAATATTCCTATACAAAAATCAACTTACAATCAGGATGACGTACTTAAATTGTTATTTAATTTTTCTTTGATCTTTTTTTCAAGCTTAAATATATCCTGATCGATTTTTTTCTTCAAACAACCGTAATAATTTAAATGCACAATTAAAAAAAATGTTTTATTTCTAAGATAGGATATTGTAGATGTAAAATTTTTTATAAAATTTTCAAACTCATTTTCGATTAGAAATACATATTTAAGTAATAAACATTATCATCAGAACAGAATATATTTAGCCAAATAACGAATATAATAATTTTTACATTTTTTTATACAGCAGTATTGAAAATAAAATATTAACAAATAAGTCTGTAAATATTATAATTAATGATTTTAAATGAATAAGAATAATTTATAATTAATAACTTTAAATGAAATAAAGTATCAAATATATAATAGTACCAATGGAATATATAGTACTATTATAATAAGCAGTGAGACCTTATAATTATTATTTTTTCTATATTTACAACTCGTTAAAAATATATTTAAAACTCTCTGTCTCTCTCCCTCTCAATATACACATATGTATTTTTACGCGTACTTATAGAATATAATAATTTAAAAACAAATTAATAATTAATTTTATATTTTGCTTACGGTTAATAGGTTAATAGGAATAAGTTTTATTTTATTTAGTGTGTTCGATGTTACTACCATATAACTTGAATATATACCAGATTTTGTACAATGAGCGTAGCACAATATGTTGTATAGTTGCAAATATACTTACAAAAGTTTTTTTTCAGACAAAGTGTATATATCAGAATAATTTTCAAAATTCTGATACAAATAAACATTATACCTCAGTTGTAAATGTGGAAGGATTCCCAGTAAATTAGCTTATGACAGGAATAAATATATATATATATATATATATATATATATATATATATATATATACAAAAGTAAATGTGAGCACATAACACATAAAGAATTGTGTAAAATGTACAAATACTGAGCTTCCGCGATGCAAACTAATCTTGTGTAGAATTACAATGGTAGCTTGCATATATTATAAATTTGGCTACGAAAAATATTCATTATTATACTTTATTAAATAATAATATAATGTAAATTAATACGTCTTAACTTCGTTTTACGTTTTAAATATTTAATTATGTAAACAATTACATTTCAGATAGCAAATTCGAAAATCTTCTATCAAGTAAATTTGGGTGAATATTTTTTGCTTCTTTAGAATGTAAAATCTCGCTTTTTGTTTAATAAGACCCGGATATATGTAAAGCAAACAAGATATATAGAGGTACAAAATGAATTTGCATTTAATGAATATGCAAATGGAGAATTTTCAGCCATGACGTGTGAATATGGATTCTATCTCGTTTATGTCGATTGCATTGAATTCTCAGTAGGGAGATGAGAAAACGAAGATTTAATTAATAATTATTATATAATACATAAAATATAACTATGATTAGAAATTCTGTATATTAATATTTGGAAATAGGAAGAATAAGAAATAATTTAAAGTACAATAAAGTACAATAAAGTACAATAATGTTTTTATAAAAGATGTAAACAGCTATCAAGATAATAGCAATCTCGACTATATTGTAAAGTATGATAAAATTGTTAAAAAAAACAAGTTATAATTATTTTGCTATTGAGTTACTTTTGAATATTCTCTATTCATTTGATTTAATAAATTTACTTGAAATAAAGAAATGTTTTTATCAGTTTTGTAGATAGCATTGTTCTATAAATTGGTTAATATTTGTCTGGAACCTATTATAAATAATTATAAATAATAAGATACAATGATCCAAAGGATTTAAAGTGAAATCCTACAGAGAAACTTTTATTAAATAACTAAACTTACATATGTTAATAAATAAATAAAGTTGATTCAAAGTATATGAAAAAAATTGATTAAGTAATGATTTTAAATCACTTCTTAATTCATTGTTGGAAAAATCATAATTCAGTATTTGAGGTCTAGATAAATATTTATTATTTCTAAAAAATTGTATTATGTAGCGAAGTAGAAAAATGAAGCCGAACACTAAAAGCGCAATGGGGCTTTAGGATAAAATAATATTAAACCCAAATATTTACATATTTATTTAAAAACACCGTCTTTTAATATTTATTTTAATTTGAAATAAAATACATTTTTACCTCTTTCCTTGTTCATAAGTTTGTTTTATGCACTTGTAAGTCAGTGTCATTAAATACAACTACGTAGATAAAATTTCATTAGTGTATAAATGCATAAAACAAAAGCAAAAATCACATTCTGATATATTTAATTGAATTCTTCTGTTAGAGAACCCTCATATAAGCCATATGACCTCATGAGAATAGTATTATAATATTTAAAATGAGCTTGCATCATATAATTAGAAACAGAATAATTGTACAGTGAAATTTACAGTTACAGCAGAGTATTAATTTAGCTTGCGATAAACTTATCTATAAATTCTTATTAAAAAAAATAAATAAATAAATTTGGTCATAATGGGATAAATAATAAATAAAATTACATATTGCTAATCAATTATTTTATACTCACTATGTATATAATAAACAATAAATGTCAGACATCTAAGTAGGTTATTGTCGCATACTATATTTAATTTTTATATAGAAGTATATTAATTTAATGCATTTATATCATTTATCTAATTTATAAAATTTAATTTATAAATTTTAAAATACTTTTCAAAATATGTAGAAATCAAAACAAATAATCAGGAACAAGTTTTTAATTGAATAATATGAATTATGTAACAATTATTGTTATATAACTGCTTAATAGTTCCGTTTACTTAACTTTCAGCTTATTTATTTATATTTATTTATTTATAATTTAATATACAAAAATCAATCATATATTTTGTACTTCTTTATTATTTTATAGATATAGCTAGAAAAGGGTATAATCAATGCTACAAACCATTGTTGGTATTCAACACAGTTTGTCTACTAATTCTGTCACCCGATATTCCAAAACAAAAACTTTAAAAAATACAATATAATACATAATTAATCTTTATGCCACATAGTAATTATATTATTAATCAAATAATAATGTGTATAATCAGACATGTACTAGACTAGTTTAATAACAGATAATTAATCAAAATCACATTAACTCCTGTTCGACTTTTCTATATAACAAAAAAATGTATTAACAGAGCTTTTTAATAATAGCTTATATTACATCTTACATTCTTCCCGAAAAATGTTGATTAGTATTTAATAAATAGAATTCTGTATTATATGAATTCAAATTACTTATCCATAATGTATTTTTCGGGAAACATAGTATTTATAAATTATTGAACTCATATTCTATCATGCTCATGTTATCGTTGTTTACATATTATTTACATATTTTCATTGCTTACATTATTTATATGATATTAATATTTCACAAATGATCTTTTTATCTTGTTGTAAGATAACATTTTATATTGATTAATATAATATGCTTCTAAGTTTCAAATTTTGTACTTACAAAATTAAATCAATTGTAAATGATTTTCTAATGCTATTAAATTGTATTTTTCGATAATTATCGGTTACATTATATTATTGTAATATCATATTATTGGATTATTTGATCCAATCGTGATAAATTTAGAATGAAGGTAATGATGAACCACTTGAATTATTATTCCTTCACACTTTTCACATAATTATGGTCGTACTGTCCCTGAGGAATTATTCCTTAATAAATTTTTGTTCAAACATAAAATTAAATTGTAAATATGTACATTTACTAACAAATGCCTACAAAAGTACACTTTTTAAATTTACTTTATTCATCTATTTATGAAAATCTATGAGTTTCATAAGACATTTGAGTTTATTATTTTTTTGTCAACATTATAATTCTATCAGCATTGTATGTAATTGATTTATTAAAAATAACAATAATTGTTTATAAAATAACTGTAAAAATGTCATTATACACTAGAAAGCGAAATATTTTAACAATATATTTTTTCTAGGTATCAAAATATTAGTTAAATAATAAATAGTTTATAAAAAAGCTTATCAAAAAATATTTTATCTATTTTTTTGAGAACAGTAAATTAAAAAATGCAAGATACTTTATTGCTTTATTAGATATGCGGAAACATAATTTTATTACATATTCAATAGTTCAAAAATAACAGAATGATAAAATAGTATAAATTATCAACATAGAATCACTAATTATATTCCTTCAATTAGAATATCTAATGTAATTGTATTTATTCTCTAAAACATTTTTTAGGTGATAATAACTTCTTTTGTATTATTAATAATAATTTTTTTGCGCATACAAAATTCAAATTAATAATATTTTCACTACCAATATTTTCTTTTTAAATTCGATTGATCGAAAATGTTTTTGAAAGTCTTATTTAATTAATTTACATTAAAAATTACATGTATTATATGTACCTCTATTCATTGGTACACTAAATTTAATTCTATATAGTTATTTTGTATTAAATTTTTATTTATATTTATATTTTATATATATTTTATTTATTTATTAATTTTCTATATATTTTTAAATAAAATTCTTTTTATAATGTTATTACTTTTTGACATGAACTTTATGAATTGTACAAAAAGAAGTTGATTAAAGGCACTAAAAAACTTTCTTTTTTACCATTTTTAATTGACATATTATCATATGAATGGGGCAAAATAAAATAACTATAAAAATAATAATGTTAGTTTCGATATTTAAGTTCACTGAATTTATCTAAATTTTGATAATGTTTGTCATCATTTCTAATAAAAAGTATTGATATTTTAATCTGTAAAATAAAATTTATTTGTCACGAAGAAGGCAAAAAAATTTGATTACTATATGAAAAAACATACTAAGTACTAATGAAAATATTCCATGTGTTCCATTGTACTGAGGTCCTGTGATTCCTGGAGTTTAAGAAATCCAAGCGAGACAACGCATAATTAGAAAAGAAATTTAATGTTGATTTCCCTTCTGCTTAATCAAATTTTGCAAATCCAAATTTGTTTTGGCATTTTATTATGGCCAAAGTATAACTGTTAAAAGTCTCTAAGCAAATTGTTTTAAAAATAAAAACTTCTAATTCGCGCTCTCTCGCTGTTTCTGCTTGTTCAAAAAAATTAAATTATAAAACAATTCATTTAGTTTATTTTATATAATATACTTCTTTGATAATTATATTACTTAAAAATTTTTAAATATTATTGATTTGATTTATCTTATGATAATAATTGAAGTAATGTAAAATTTAATTAAAACATAATAACTTATTAATTGAATAATAATCGAAAACTAATATTTAATAATTTTGATGAAAGAGCTTAGAAGTCCAAGTACAAGCTATTAATTAATATTTATTTAGACGCATATTTTGCTGCAGAAAACTGTCGCAGATCAAACGTGCACGATTAAACATACCGATCTTGCTTTTCATGCAACGAGAAAATGTAATTTAGTGAAGAGATTTGGAATAAAAACTTACCTAAAAAAAGCTCATTAAAGCCTCCTTGTCCACCTATGTACACACCAAAGTTGATATTGAGTTCAAAAAAGCGACCTGGCAGTACGTCGGTCATACTGTGAATCACGTCAATCCTGAGAGTTATGTTAGCGTCGCGTCTTGTTAGATTGACCTCGTGCCAACTGAGGTCATTGAGCGTTAACTCGCGGGTACTTGCTAATTCCTTCTCGCCTGCACCCAAATTTATATGCACCTTTAAGAAAAAATAAGCATATTTACATTCTTTATTATTTAATTTGACATCTGAGCGTAGAAGGTTGATATAATTTAAATTTGAGTGATTCTTATTTCGTACATTCATTTTTTATGAATATTATGCCAGAAATATATTATATTATATATATTATCAGAAACAAAATAGTACATTAGAAGAGTATAACAATCTTACTTGTTTTTACTATTACGTTTTAGTCTCATGTACTATTATAAGATTTTATAAATGTTTCTAGTCTACATTTTACATAACTCATCAGCTTTGCAGCTGTATTATTATATTATATTAACATTATGACATTTACTTTTGTAAAATCAAAATAATAATGATATTTTTAGTTCTTTTTAAATTATTAAAATTATTATTTTATTCTTTTGACTAATGAATCAGCAATTTTTGCAGATTATATCAGTTATTTTAAATTTTTTTTTAAATTTTAAATTTTTATGCATCATTATATCAGTTATTTTAAACATTTTAAATAAGCAAAAAAATATTATATTAAATATATGCATTTACACACAAAAATTTCGATTTCATAGTAGAAATTAGTACGATAATTTTAGTAATTATTATTAAATTTCGTATATTTTATTATAATTTACACAATAGGGTTTGTTAAATTTTTCATTGCTATATATTTTCACCAATTAATCTCATTTGTTTGAAAATTAATATTTTATTTTAATTATACTTATTAAAATCTAATGATGATCTAATTTATGAATCCAAATATATTTGTTAACAGTTAGTTATTTTAGTTTACTAATATTAATAAAAAATTTCTTTATAATACTTGAATACATAATTTTTTAAACTATGTGATTTACAAAAAATTTATTTAACATAGGCATTATTATTATAAAGGTAAAAATTATATTAATCTGAATTAAATTAAGCTACATACAAATTTAATCTAAAAGAATTGGATGACTATTTTCTACAAAGTGTAATGAAATATCTTTTTGAAATATTGAAAAATAATTAGGTTACTAAAATAAGTACGATTCCGAGAAAAGAGCTGTATCATTCAACTAATCATTTAATTTTATATATTAAATTAATAATTTATGGTATTTAATTAAAATAATTAAAAGTTTTATATTTTATTGGAATAATGAATGCATTATTTTCGTTACTGATTTTAGTAAACTAGAAAAATCAATATTAAAAATAAAAATATATATTTCAAAATGAATATATTTATTCAATAACTTTTAACAAGTTTGGATTTAAGCAATTGAAGTGACCGAATAATGTCTAATTACATTGATATAAAAATTTTAAGATTTGTCGCTATAAAATTGATTATTCGTATCAAATAATATATAATCTAGTAGTAATGTATTAAAAGGAGTATTAAATGTAAATCCAAGAAATGAAATCAAATTGAAAAGCTTCAACAAGCATAAAATTTCGATTTTACAAGAATTTTTATACAACTATGTTGATAAATTTATCTTGATGTTCTTTAATGCCAAAATTATTATTATTTTACATATTGTTTATTATTGTATTGTTATTTTACATAGAATCTAAGATATTCCTTAATAATGATAAAATATAGGTAATCATTTATCTTTCAACAAATACTTTTATTTTTATTACTTTTATTACTACTATTACTTTTATTCAACAATTGCTTTTAGATTCAAACTTTGTGCCTTCACAAAGGTACATAAAATAATCATAAAATAATTAATTGAAAAGTGACTCGTATGAAATTTCTACAAACGAATGTGAATATATAACATTTCGAAATTATAAACTACTTTGAATAATATGCTTATATATGCAAATATTTTATTATATATTATATGGATTTATTATGTTCAGTAAGGATTTTATATATTTTATTTTATTCACGTAAATTTTACACCAATCAACTTATGCATCAGTAATAAATTAAAAAATAGTACAATTGATTGCTTTTTAATTTAAAAACAGTTATTATTCACGAATAAACTCAATCTATTTTATTTTCAATTTTTATAAATTTTAATATGTTGAATCAAATTTCCTAGTTCGTTTAATAATTTTCTATAACTTAAAATCAATCTCATGATAATATTTAGTCATTTGAGGAATTTAAGTTAATTAAGTGAGTTAATTAAGAAATGTCTATTATATCTAATTTTTTATTAAAATTGAAATAATTTAATAATTGAAATAATTGAAATAATATTTTTTTAATGAATTGATCAATTTAGATGTGTATAATTGTGCAAAATAAAAATTATTTTTTTACAAATAAAATTTAATCATTCATCACTATGCAAAAGTAACAAATGCATATTTACAAATTTCATTAAATTCAATAGTATATTTACTATCAGTTCTAATTTTAAATTTATAAATAAAAATAATACTTATTAATCAATTTTAATTTTATTAAGAATTATGTTTCAAATAATAAAGGAAATATTGTAGATTTAAAAGTGTTTTAATATAATATTCTTATATTAATTAAATTTCTTTGAATTTAAAATGTCTCGCTTTGTATCTCACAATTTATTAAGGACAGAAATAGTCTGTTGCACAAATTTCTTAAATCAGAAATTAATACAGATTGGAATAAAAGGCTGTTATATGATAGAATTGTATTTGTAAAAGTAATTGAAAATAATTAGAAGTTAGTTTGAATCCATAATTTATAATTAAATTCCTACGATAAAAATTCATTTTGGCTTAAATTACATAAATTATTTGTATCAATAAATTAATAAAATTATATAAGTAAAATTTAGAATTTGCATATAGAAGTACATATTGACGAATAAAAGTTTTACGAAGTTTTTGGTCATCATAAAACGTTATTTAAATTTCATTCAGTTATAATATATATCTATTTAAACTATATATGTAATTTTAAAGTTTATATCTTCTTGATTTAATACTAATACGTTACTATACATATTTTTTGCAATATATTCCTTTTATATATTTTAAATTCTATAGGTTATCATGCCGGTAAAACTATGTCTTTTACATTTTCAACTATATTTATTATATGATTCATAACAATTTTGGTATAGAAATATTAAAGAACTGAAAATTGCATGACATATATGAATTAAAAAATTAATAAAATACAGTTGTAGTGAATTATAATATAATATTATCATACAGAATTGCATATGGAAGCAAATACAATTAATTCTCAATTCTAATTTGAAAATTATATCAAGAATAATTAGTAATTAAATGAAATAATAAAGTAATGAAAAATTAAAAATTTAACAAAATTTTTTATTAATATATGCAATCTCATAATTTGAATACATAGCTTTTATGCGAATATTTAATAAATTTTTAATTTTCAATAATCGTGTTCTTTTTAATAATAAAAAATACAGTACTCCAAATTACTATGTAGGCTTTCATTGTGTTTCTGGTATTACAGTAAATATAGTTATAGTAAATATACTTTTTCGTGAAATATGTATGCAAAAATTAATTTATTTTTCATAATATTTTGTTTTGAAACTGTTACAGAATTGACATATAATTTTTAAATTAGAATTGAGAATTCATTGTATTTGCTTCCATATGCAATTGTGTATGATAATATTATATTATAATTCACTAAAACTATATTTTATTAATTTTTTAATTCAATTATGTCATGCAATTTTCAGTTCTTTAATATTTCTATAACAAAATTGTTATGAATCATATAATATTTTAAGAAATGTGTGTTAATTTAAGAAATTAACATTAATAATTGATTGATTTTAAATGATTTTTAAAATTATCTAAAACCTTTATGCATTGCTTATGTTTTCTGATGAAATACAGAGTTCAACTTAATCTACAAATTCATGCTAATAAATGATACTACATGTTGTGTATTCAATAAAATAATATATGTGGTCATATTTTAGTTAATTGTAACGCTTTCAATATTCTAAGCTGTTCAGTTTGCATGTAATTTTTTTTTTTTTGTACATTTGCTTACAATTGTATTGCAATGTTGTCTTTTGCCGTTGATCTGTTTTAAATTAATTCGATACGTATTACGTGCAAATACAATTTTCATATTAAAAAATCTTTGCGTTGTCACTGAAACCGTCAATCTTACCAACCGAAGATTTCCGATTTTTAATTTCGTTCAACTATTCATCAAAGATAAATTCAAGTTTCCCAATGAAATTGAAATGGTCCCAGGATTATTAATGACCGATCACTCGTCTTTCACAGAGTATTTTTATCGAATTAAATAAGAAAGTTAAAATTAAAATATAAATGCAAGCTATACTATGCATGTACCATTTATATATTGAAAAAAAAAATCAAAAATTGACTCAATATGCAATTTAAACAATAAAATATGTAATTCATTAAAGAATTATATTAATGTGAATATATAATAAAATTATATGGACATACAATAAATATTGCATGAGAAAATATCATATAATATGAAAATATAATATTTATAAAAAAAAAAAATTTAACTTATATTATTCAATCTAACTATATGAAAGCTCTTAAGTTTAATATACACTTTTTCTAAAAATAATGCTTGAATAATGTCGAATTGTGCTTTGATCGGATATCGAATGATTCTACTAGCATTTATTCTTTAAAACAGTTTATTTACGATAATTACATAGATTTATCTTGATAATAAATTTGAATGAATTCGTTGAAAATGTAATCAAACAATGAAAATATAAGCATGAAGAATAGAACAACAATCCAATGAATTTTAAATAAACGAATAAAATTTATATGTTTATTATAAAATATTTTGACAATCTTTAACAATTTGATTAATAAGTAAAGTAATAAATAATAAATTTATGTTGAATATTAAATTGTTTTTATTCAAAACGGGTTTTTATGAAATGGGAATAAAAGTTGAAATTTATTGTTCTTTAATATTTTGTTTTTGCTATATACGTATAAACAAAGATATAGTTCACAGAGAATGGCAATTCAACCAATACATCAATTTTCTAAGAACAATAAATCTT